CCAAATATTGCCTTGTAACCGTTCGATCCGTGCCCATTAACCAATGTTGTATCATAATTGTTAGATTGACCTAATTTACTATATTTCAGACCAAGGAATGATAATTAGACAACTGCAGTTAACTAAGTCACACAAAATGTGACATTTGAAACATTATAGTGCCTAACAACAATAGATTTTCTTTCTGAGCGGTGCATATGGGAGGATGGGCTACGTGGCTAATGTTCAGAACTTCTGAACGTGCTAGGTTAATAGATGTCAAAATTAAGCCACTATCGTCAAAAACGCTATTATTTTTGTTTACCAATATCCTCAAACTCAAATGAACGTGTCCGTATATTGTTTGAATTAAAAAAAAATTACACATGTTTTAAATAAATGACCTACACTTATTGGCCATTGAAACTTCGAAGTGCCGCGTGATCATCATGCTTGCCTCGTATCAAAGTGACAAACTTGTAATATAGTGGAGTTATAATGAAAATAAGCAAAGTTAAATTCGCTTCGAAATGCAAATTGCAAATAAAATCAAAAGATTTGTTATTATAATTGCGTAAAAATGATTGTGTAATACATGTGTAATTAATCAGTTTTGCTGGGTAAGACGATATAAGGTTTGCACAGCAGTCAATATGGTGCATTTGTTTGGTTGTGGATATTTACAGATGGAGGAACGATGAAGTTGACGGAGGCTCGATGAAGTTGATGGAGGCAAGACGAAACTGTTTTATTGACAATTCGGAACGGTTGGTTAGAAAGCAAATGAGTCCTTGACCCTTCGCGAAAAGTGTCTAATGTAAGGATATGACTTTATCAACAATCGGGTAATAACTTCTATAATCTATAAAGGCTATATTCTGGTGGCCGTGAACTCTCGTACATTTCAGCTGCACAGGAGCTAAGAATTTACTTCTGAACTGCAAGTAAAGAGAATTCATAATTCAATACATCTTTCAGTACACTTCAATGTAACTTTTACGATAAATATTTGAGTAATGTTTCTTTTGTACTAAAGTTTGCTCTCCTGCAAGATCCATATCCTTTTAACAATGATGTTGTGTAATTTCCTAATATTTAATGCACACACACACAACAAATATTCTCACTAAATATATACCAATGTCATAACATAAGATTAAAAGGATAAGATTTGCAATGTTGAGAACAACTCTTATTGCTCTACGAGGGTACCGAGGAAAGAAGGTGGACACCAAACGTGAGATTCAGCTATCAGAAGTTTCATACAACCTCATTCCTGCCCCTATAATGGAGTAGATCATGTGTTTTGTTGAAATGTTTTTGAAAAAATTATTGGTAGCAATGAATTGTGCTCTGCCAATTGCAACACTTAAAATTTGATTGTGCTCTGCCAATTGCATCACTTGATTTAATTGAATGTATATATGGGCAATTTCATGAAACATGAACAAGGAGGGAAAAAAATAAATTTCAGTTATGGCACTAGCTTTGATTGGAGTCTGAAAGAGAAGATTATAAACTGTTAGACACAAAAAACCGCTTATAAATATCTCACTTCGTTTTTGTGTTATCGCGTTTTCAAAATACCCATAAATTGTCATGTTTTACAGGCTAAAACTACTCTATAATAAAAGCTGTTTACTAAAAAGAGATTGTTGTAATATTCATTAATTCTTGATCTGTAAAGGTGCATACCACTTCACTGAAGCTGTATGCAAAATTTGGGACTCAAAATTTAAGCAGATTCGGAGCAATGCTATTCTACTTTCTCCTGTTTTTAGTGTAAATTACTATACATAAAAAACAAAAAAGTTTTCTGCTGGCCACATTTCATGTTATTTCTTGCTGAAATCTTGCTAAAACAAGCTAACTCTGATGTCAAGACATAATGTACTTGTTTATTTAGATCCATAGATATCAGATCATGTCAATACCAGCGTCAAGTAAGTTACATGTCAAGTAATTTACGTGTCAAGTAATTTACACATATGCTTTTTATTCAGTAATAGTAGTAAAACACAACAAGTAACGATTGTCAAACAGAATAAAAGTTATTTAAAAGTGATAATAGATTGGTTCTGGTCGGAATTTCATTAAAGAAATCTATAAAAATGGTTAAAAATGGTTAAAAATTGACTTTTCGAAAATAATACTTTACTTTACAGAAAATCCAGTGGCCTGCTTGAACACAAATTTTTGAGCTGGGAAACATTCGTACATTTACGCCCACCTACCTACTCTGTATAACTGGGCTAACTGTGGACCCAATCAGTGGATCAATCAACCAATTAAGGGGGCCGGGGGGTCTTCATCAAAATTCCCTCGAAATTGACTTTTTAGTTGTTTCTGATAGAAGGGAGTGATATCTATCAGATGCTTTTGGTCCCATGGAAAAATATTATTCCTAGCCGAAATTATTGTCGGTCAAAGGTCAGCACTTATGTGTAATTGTATTGCGCGAGCGATTTTCAACCCCTGTCCTGAAAATCGAGTCTAAAAATCTATTTTCTCCTACATGTTTTTAGCAATCACCCTGAAACTTTCAGGATATGTTCTAGATATAATTTAAAAGAGATGAGCCAGACAGAATTTTGAGATAGGCCTTTAAACATATTTTATTCGATTTTGAAAATCTTGGACCTCGTTTTTTGACGATTTTTTGAGGTCCAAGATTTTCAAAAATTGAAAATCGCTCGCGCAATACAATAACGCATAAGCGCTGACATTTGACCGATAATAATTTCGTCTAGGAACAATATTTTTCCATGGGACCAAAAGCATCTGATAGATATCACTCCCCTCTATTAGAAACAACTATAAAGTCAATTTCGAGAAAATTTTGATGAAGGCCCCCCGGCCCCCTTAATTGGCTAATGATAAACTGATATATCATTATTAATCATATATTACATAGTTCATACACTTAGCAAACGAATTAAAGACAAAGGGGCAGCTTTAAACAGTTAAAATCAAAGGATTGTGTAACAGTGTAAACTACTTGACACAAAAGAGTAACTTACTTTACAAGGAACAAAGGCTTCTACAGAACACAGCTATTAACCATTTACCAAAACAAACCCTTTCCAGTACAGGCAAGACATTTGCCAGTGTGCATGAAAAATATTTAAATGTTTACTCTCACACCTGGGCACGAAATGAGATTTCAATACACGTTGGTCAGGAATGTCAATTTGTGCCCTGTAATTTACTTTACATTTTCAAACGTGCCTCACTCAAAAGCCATAGCAGTTGGAGAAAAAATCTTAATATAGCTGTGTGTGGAGTACATAGGAGATGTTTCATGCAATTTATCATGATTCTGTTATGTTTGTGTAATGCTTGAGAGTCAGAATAAGGCCAAATTTTTGTGCAAAGTGTAATTTACTTTACGTGAAATCGCCCATATACTGTTTGACACACTTTTCATGGTCGTTCAATGAACGGCCAGGTAGCGTAGTTGGTTAATCATCGGATTTGTAATCGTGAGATTGCGAGTTCGAAACCCACTGCCTGCCTAGTCGTGGGGTGAGTGTCGTCGACATTCAGCTAAAGATCCTGAGTGGTCTATGCAGCCCCCCGGTCTACTCAGCCGAATATTCGAGAAATCGTGTGTGAGGGTTAAATGAGAAGCTGTCCATTGCAGCGAAGTCTCGGGCGAAGAAAGTATGGTACACACTACCTTAACCGTCACTGGCCCAATTAAATCCTTCGGCTTCCTGTAATTGGCTAGTTACACTTGTGTAACAATGTGGCTGTTGGAATACTCCGAAGTAAAATAAGTGTGAGATAAAAAAAAAAGGGAGTAAATTAGTTAAAATAAGGTAATGAGTTCCTTGAATTGGTATTGGTTGAAGTAGTTGGTGCAGGGGTTAAAGCTGAAAGGCAACAGTTACAATTAGTACGAAAGGCAAAAAGGAATAAATCAATCATAGGTTTGGGTCTATCTACCGAGCTAGTGTTCTGGTGTGCACAAAAGCCCCTAAGCCCGTGCATTCCTTGCCCCCGCTAGCTGCCAGTCCTTGACAAACTTCCAATAGCAAAGATCAACTAGTCATTTACAAATTGAGCACTATACAATTTTAATTGTTTTAAATATTTGACTTTGTAAAATGAGCTAAAACATTGATTTATTAGTTTCATTGATTTATTAGTTTCATTGGGTGGGACATTGCTCAACAAATCTACTGGTTAGTGGTTATCTGAAAGGAAAGCGTGAGTACAGAGAAACGTTTGTCATCTTTTTTTGGATTGTGGTATCACTGGATCAGCTCTTTTGATGTTAATAAAATGTACCTCAGATCTTTCAGGAGCAGTACTGCTGGGGTTCAAATTGACAGTGAATTCTGACAGGGTTGATGTACTAGGTGTACTGTTTTTCGATTGGACCAACATATACCACTAGAAGAATAATCCAAAGTGATTTACCTTTCCTGCTTGAGCTGATAGACAGAATCCTTGTGAAACTCACAGACTGATGAACCATAAACTTTATGAAAAGAGAAGTCTTCTGCTATTAACCAGTTCAGATGTCCCAGGAATCTTTGTCACCATAGATTTTCCCATGCTAGACTCGAATTGATAATACTGTCCTGAAACTAAAATACTGAAAGCAGGGAGCAAGTGCTTGCTTGAGGATCTGTCCTTGTTGTCTGCAAATATTCCTCAGAAGGCTCAACCGATAGATGGTACCTTGACAGCTGATCAAATTGAGGAACTGAGGGTAGAGGGTAAGATTTGAATGAAACAAGTTGTAAATCATTCGGTTTTTTTACAATTGTGGTTTTGTCATTCAACCTTTATATTAATAATATTATATGTTCTCCATCTTGAATCTGTTGTGTGGATTTTGCTTATTTTACAGATGAAAACCAAAGCATAGTTTACCTCACTTTTCAAGACCTCCTTGTCAGCAATTCCAAGTCTTCACCTTTGGGTTTTTGCTGTTGCAATGATAGAAAACATTTTGTCACAATAAGATTTCTATTAGATTATTTGAATCTTAACAATATTACTTTATTCAGCTATGGAGTGCTTAATAGGAATCACAGGCAAAGACTTTGTGGTGGTAGCTTCAGACAATTTATCTGCTCACAGTATTATTGCTATTAAACATGATGCCCAGAAGCAGTTTGAATTGGGGGACAAAATGGTAAGCTTTAAATAACATTGAAATTAGTAAAAATGTCCAGTAGTTAGCCAATATTTTTAAACAAAAATTTACAAAGGGATCAGATAGTTTATTGCCGACCAGTTTTTGATATCTCAATTTGATTCTTATCAAACAATTTCGCTTTAATAATTGTATGACATAATTTTACATATTTCTTCCTTCCAATCAAGTACTGCATCAGAAGACAGATTTTAATGTTTCTAATCTCAGATTATGGCTGTTAGCGGTGATGCAGGGGACATGACCAACTATGCCGAGTACATCCAGAAGAATCTGAAACTTTACGAGATGGTACATGGTTACAAACTCACTCCCAATGCTGCTGCCAACTTCTCCAGAAAGGTACTACCTTACAAATTAATAATAAACTATCACACACTTGTACACTATACAGAAACTAAACTCTATGTAATCTGGTCGCTGGAAGTTTTGCACCACGCGTATGGTTACATTTCTCGGAAACGACCTATTCAGTTAAACGTGGACTGATGGAAATAGAAGTGTATCTAGATTACATAGAGTAGCATGCTAGATACATGGTAGATCAATTCCAATTTGTACAAATGTACATCCATTATATCCTCTCTTTTCCCACCAGCATTGTTTACCACCGGTACAGGGGCCTACACCGCATCTAACACCAAATACTTCATCTACATTGCCACATAATTGTCATTAACACGCAGTAACTGAGATGGTGTGGCAAATTGTCACGAACATGTTACATTACACTTGAACTGGCTGCATACTTTACTCCTCGGTCTAGACTCTCAGTTTAGCGTGACTATCTATTACTCCACATTTAGATATTATACATCTAATAAATAGTTGTTGTTTGGTTTCCCAAAGAGAGTGCTCGATTGCAACTTTAAGCAGGAGCATTATAATTCGAACAATTAAAACAAATCAAATTGGCGGGCAAACGTCCAAACGATCCGTTTCATGATATGTATAAAACAATACCAATCATCAGTGCCCTTATACATCTATATATATTATTTATTAAACCTTAAATTAAATATTATCTCAACACTTCTCTGGTATCACACATTATTCAGCTGTTATCTCATGTCTTTTTTCTTGCAAGTACATACTTAACCTGTGCTGAAGTTGCCGTGACTGGGAAATAATCAGTTCTCTGTTATATATTTTAATTTATTGACACAAACATGACGAGAATGTGTGCAGGTGATGGCCCAGGCTCTGCGTAGTCGTGGACCGTATATGGTTAACCTGCTTTTAGCTGGTGTAGAGGACGATGGAACTCCTAGTCTTTACTTCATGGACTACCTCGCAGCTATGACAAAGGTTTGAAAGAACGGTTTATTATAAATAATTGGTTTTGGAGGAGGGAATAATTATAATGATATATTGTGGTTTGAGTATTACCGAACCATTATATTTATCTGATGTCTTTGTTCATCATAATTAAACTCGAGGTTCCTGATTCATTCAGCTATTCTTGCCCCCAAAATGAAAGTTGGTAAACCATTGAGTTTTGGAATTTATAATTAAAAGTCGGAAACCTTCTCGGCTTAGCGGTACAATTGAGCCAAAACTTTCACCATCTATTGTCAGTCATGAACAATTGACTTTCCTAAAATGTAAATTTTCTGGCACCTATTCAATAATTTATGAGAAAGGAATGAAAGGAATGCAACTTCAGACCATTGTATCTGAAACACAAAGCCACTACGTGTTACTATACCACGAATGTAACTTTTAACCACGACAGCTCCAAACAAAGCGCTAATCAGTAATTAACCAGGAGAAGTTTGCTGCACACGGTTACGGTTCCTTCTTTATCCTGTCCACACTGGATCGATATTACAGAGAGGACATGACTAAAGATCAAGCTGTTGATCTCCTCAAAACCTGTATTCGAGAAGTCCAGTCTCGATTTATTGTTAATCTCAATGCTTTCTCTGTCAAGGTACGTGATGTTGTCAGAACACATTGTTATTTTGATAATTTTGTTGCTTTATTTCTGTAAATTGTTAGCTGTTTTATTCTCTTATAAATCAGAATTTTGTTCAAACTGTTGAGTAGTTGTGTACATAGTCCTGTTTGGTGCTTTGTTGATACCAGCACTGTATTTGGCACAAATCCTAAAATAAACTATGTAGATTATGGGTAGATGGACACTTCTAAAGGGGGTCTTGGGTTACAGATGACAGGAGGTACATGGATCACTAACTTCTGAGAGTATACAATGTACAATGTACAATGTACAATATACAATACATACAATGTACATGAAGTCAGATAGATATAATATAATCAATACTAATATAAGTATAATTGCTCTATGGACCTTGGCATGATGCTCCCAGATTTCTTAGAGTGTATCGAATATTGAAATGTTAAACCTCTAGCTTTATTCGAATTGTGGTTTTTAATTTCCTGTGTACAAGCTAAATCCCACAATTTCACCGCAAAGTGCATTTGCTCGAGTATTTTTAGCAATAATTCAAATGCTAAATATTTTTTGAATTTGTTGCTTTTTAGAGCGTTGTCATTTTAAAATGGCCTCTGACTTGGCAGTTGGCCATGCAATGCTCATTGGCTAATCTTTGTCACGTGTCAAAACATGATGTAAGTCCATTAAAACTTTAGAACTAGTTCTAGAATTTAGTACATACACTGCTCGGAGGGGCTCACACTTGTAGAAACATCGTTTCTAGTTACATGTAACTAGAAACGATGTTTCTACAGTGTGTATAGTTGTACGTGTTTTTATCTTTACTTTTAGAATTGGTAATGGTAATATAATGGTATTGATAATGATACCATGGTGTATACTATGGTGTATACTATGGTGTATACCATGGTGTATAATATTCGTATTTATTAATCTTAAGTGTGCGACCCTCTAGGTCTCTAAACTCTAAAGTGGTGTCGAGAGACAGCGATATTTATTTATTTTCTGATTTTGACATCACCTGGGGGTCCAATTTTCGGGACTTAAAGCTATTGATAATCACTTAACTTTGTGTTACGTCAGTGTACGGCTTTTACAGGCAATTACCAACATAACATAACACAATTTCAACATAACATAACATAACACTGGATGTTATGGTATGTGTGCTTGATACCCGTGCGACAGCCATGTGCTGAGTGATGTTTGTGCGTAAACTGTGTATTAGGCGTCCTTCCGACAGATTCCTAGGCAACCTAATTTCACATAAAATCTGCCGATAGCACTTTGTTGTCAATACATAACTCTAATAGTAATAACATGTAACATTTACCAATCATTTCAGATAATTGACAAGGATGGTATCAAAGAACTGGGGGATATCCCCAACAGCGGTACAGTACACAAAGACGTCCCCAAAGAAGCAATCCATCCCGAGCTCATAGCCAGAGCTTAGAAAAGTGGGCTCAGTTTGAAGTTTGATGATAAAAATAATAATCATAACGCATCTAGAATGTTTAGCATATAAACTCATATAAACTCTCTCGTCTTCTCTTTGAAACTCGTTTCATGTAATTTGTAATTTGTGGTTATATAATTTGGTCGGTGTTATATAGGGATGTTTTTTATTTATTAGAAAACGGTAGTTCGAATCTGGATGGTCGTAAAATACGTGTAATTATCTGCTGGATACAAGGTAAGAAGCGCACTGACAAACTTCATTATTATTATTAATCGACTAACAGTTGGTTTGGCACGTATTTTCGTTTTATAAACATATTTTTACTCGAGATAAGAGTTTAAATAATAAGACAATGCCACTGGTTGCACTTTCTAGGAGTGGGCAGACAAAGATAAAAGAGAGAACATTTAAAAAGTAAATTTATATAGATCGTCAAATCACGCTGTCATGCACTTTTTGCCTTTATCAAGGAAACTGTAAGGATGCGATATTTTAAATCCAGCTTTGTTCTACTTAACTTTCGTCAAGCATCCTTTGAAGCAAGGCAACATTTTCTATAAAAGAAGACTATATTTGTACTTTTTATCAACAACCGGCTTGTTGGACGTTATAATGCTGAGCAGTATATATATATCTACATGTACAATGTACATTTCCTGTAGATTTGCTCGATTTATTTAACATGTACTCAATCAGTGTGCTTTACTGTTTCACTCGCTCTCTTCGCTGCGTTGAAGTTACTGGAGAGAGCTTCACTAATTGCAACACTTCACAGAAATTAGTTCGTTGTGTTTTTTTTAGTTACTGTTGTGTTGTTCTCTCGTGTTGATCGTGGTCCTTTCTTGTGATTGGTGGATATATTGAATAAAATGTAGGCACTAATTTAAGTGCAGGCCTTTAAATAATGTCCATTATTAATACAGACTCTTTAAACTTTTTGTAATCATTTTAAGTTCGTGCCGGTCGCCGGAGCACTAAGACAGTAATGGTAATTCTTCAAATAGTTGAAGGTCTGTATTAATTCTATAGGTCATACCATTGCAACGTGATATATCGGTGCACCAAATATTTCAACGATAAATACGTTAGACAAAACATTTCTTTATAACCCAAACAGTAGTATTAGATTCACTTAGTTTTCAAATAAGGATTGGTGACAAATAAAGGTACAAGTTGGTGGTTTCTGTAAGAAAGAGTATTCGTGACGGAAACCACCAACGTGTATTAGACATTAGTGTATTAGATAGTGCTCTGTAAGTTGTTCTGTCTATGTAGCGCTGTGGTCTGTGTGTGACCACTTTGTTTCTAGTACATGTTGATGGTCATGGTTGTGACCAAGCCACTGAGCACGGTTAAATCGGCACTCGTGCAAATTATAGACAGTTTTTTGTTGAAATTGCTATATCTCCGAACTCTAATTCTAATATGTTTGCATGTGCTTGACTCCTGTCTGATATGGTTAGGTGTCAGGTGTGTAGCTGTATATAATACTGGTACCTGTGCTAGATGTGTACCTGTGCTAGATGTATATAATACTGGTACCAGTGCTAGATGTATATAATACTGGTACCGGTGCTAGGTGTATATAATACTGGTACCTGTGCTAGATGTATCGTGTGATATTGTGTTATTGTGTTAAACTCGGTAATTAGGTGGGAACATGATATCTGCTCAGCTGCCAGTCTCTATGAATAGAATCTCAAACTGAGGCTTTATTTGATGATCTTATTGTTTGTACAGTGAGTTAGAAGATATGATGTGGGTTAGGAAGAGAGAAATAAATGTTCAAGAGATTTGTCCCGCAAACTCAAATTTCCACCAGCAAAATTCTTAAGATAATCGCCAAAGCGCCAAGTTGGTCTCACAAAAATTTCTAAAATATAAATGGAAAGAGTTGACCCCCTCCACCGATTAAATGAGCTTGCTGGAACATTACATTCTGCCACATATTGATCCGTCCAACTGATGTATTTAGTTTGTCAGATTACATTCATGCAATTCCGTTTATTACGTAAAAATCGCATCCAAACACGCACTAATTAATTAGTACGGGTTAGTACGTGTTTTTTTTTCTGCCGAATTTCAGAGTTACACATATGACTATATGACATTTATGCCCTGCCCCATAAATATAATGCGGCGATAACTTCCGGTTCATCGAGGCAGAATATCACCCTAATTTGCTGTTACACTCCGCTAATGTAGTCACGCACGTGGCGACAAAAGTATACATTATTTCGGGTGAAGATGTAGAGATGTTAAGTGTGATACCGTGACAAACTGTTCCTACTGATGTAGCCTGTAGGTATGCAGGTATCTCAGTTTAGGCATGAGGTTGTTCCTTTGTTTCTAGTTTCAGTTGTGAACTTGTATACAGGGATCTTGCGATTCCGGCTTTAAAGATCCGCTGATTAGCATACAAACTAGAATCAGATCCAAATTACAGCAAGTTACAACAGTTCCACAACTAATTTAAGAAAGCGTCTATACATGTATGTTGAAACTGATAAAGAAAACCTTGATAAGCAGGCTGCTTTATGTTTCTGCAGCCCTCTCAAGAGCGGCCGTGCTTTTTGAATTCCAGTAATATGACCATTAAACGCTTTAAAAATACATAGTCCCCCTATTAAAATAATAGTTAATAGTGCTATGTTTACAGTATGCACTATTATAGAGCAGGCATGAAGTGAGCTGCATGATTAGAATTGAACAAGGATGTAACTGCTTTGATGTGAACACAAAAACTACCCCGATTGGTTGTTTAATGTTGATGTGTCTGTATAATATTGGTAGTTATTAATATGCATATTAATTATCATAAAATACCCAGACATATATATGTCTGGGTATTTTATGATAATTCTTCATTAATTATGCCCTATTAGAGAACTACTCTTCATGCTGCATGTAATATGGTATTGATTTTAACAAATACCCAGTACCTCATACCATGCAATCAATTTTATACGATATCTGGTGTTTCCCTATTGTTTGCAACGGTCCCACTATACAAGTATACAATGGATCAATCTTTTGAACTGTATTGGGTGCCAGGGTAGCGCACTCGGATACACGCTTAGGGCACATTCTGGCTCGTGAAATTCTTCACAGATCATCATTTGTTTTGTTTGTTTTCTCACATTCCTAAGTGTATCATACCTGATTGGAATGTGGAATCACATGTGAAAACAGAGAGGTTCCCTTGCTTTCGTTCCAGTGTAGAGAGAGAGTTCTAGTTGCATTGTTAACTTGTGTTAATAGTATCCGGGCCCCTCTCTTTACTGGCCCTTTTACTGGCCCCTTTACTGGTGTTTTACAGCTAGTTCCTCCAGTTGTCAGTACCACTTGGTAGTTACTAGACCTTTATAATATGTACATTTACAGCTCAGCCTGGCACCTTCCTATAGCACTTCCTATAGCACTTCCTATAGCACCTACCACGTGTAGTGTTACATTTCAGGCCTTGACCCAGATATGTTTAATCGAATAACGAGATACGATTGGGTTTCAGGGTAATCAGATTCAATTCCACTTCCCCGCATTCCCGGTTTATGTTTGTTATCCGGCTTGTTTCCTTTTCAACATCTCGGAACATTCCTTATTCCTCAGAGCGCTCTCCCAGGCTCTTGTCACCACCGGGTATGTACCGGGTTATATTATGTACCGGGTTATATTATGTACCGGGTTATAGTATGTACCGGGAGAGCAGGAGGATAATGTAATATCCTTAATTAAAACCGTCGCTAGACCATTACCAAAATAGATATGAAATACACATCCTGGTGGGTAGTCGATACAGGCGGTGTGTATATGTATGTATAACTTGATGGTTGTTCCGTTGTATTGCCGGTTGCGTGTGTGTGTGTGTGTGTGTGTGTGTTACCGGTAAGATGTACCGCTTGTATCTTGAGCAGCTACTATCCTGTTTATTTAATTTTACCACCTCACCACCCCAACCTTTCTCTGTTGCTGCAATTTATTTGTAGTATAGTAGTATAATGTTACTTTTAATATGTTCCTTGTGGATTAACAAACTTTTGTAGAGCTACGGGCTAGTTTTAAATCCATTAATATTGTTCCTGATTTGTTGTAAGAAATTAATGCACCATGTCTGACCACATACGTACAATGGTATGTGCACATACGCAGTGTTATGTGCTAGAACTGTCACACAACCCGTTGTTTGTTGCGCTTGCACTTACCTTGTGTTTCACCTTTTCAAGCTCCCTGGCTCGGTCTTTATCAAGTTAAGACGATAACAGAGCTCCTTTTTGTGATATAATCGGTTCTTTAAAAGGCTTCTCTGTTTGGTAATTTATTGTATGAGGTGTTAGTTGGTGACCTAGATGGTACGTGCCGTGCCCTCCCGAACAATTACCGTAATTAATCCAATTTATTTCGAGTGAACAAACTGGGGCGGATACAAAGCAATTTATGCAACTTATATTAGCCACAAGGTGTTTCCGAAATCCGAGCAATTTATAAAAGCAGCTGTTCTTTGCCTATTTTTACATGTTTTATAGGGCGACATTCTTTGTGTTCCAATTTACCAATTAATTTGGTTTTGTTCCGTTCTCCAAGATAGTCAACAATCATATTATCTATCTGGTCGGTGAACTTGCATGTTTAGTGAGCGTTTCGTCTTACACACTGGATATACAAGTCTCATGCACACTCCTCCTCGTGTTAAGCTCCTTATATGGGCATCACGTGGTTCCTGCTGTTCCTCTAAACATTCCTGAACATTCCACTAAATTTCACGATATAAGTCAAACGTTAACAAAATTGACTTCCCTCGTGCCACTCGTCATGTTATAGCGACTGAGACTGAAGACAAAAACATATAGATTGTCTCAAAATTAACGCAATGTTAAGATGCACTTTAGTTGGTAGATCAGCTGGTGTAATAATTAAAATTCTGTACATAAAATGTCAGAACTCATTTCTTGTTCATTAATCGCTTTAACAAATTTTGTCTTAACATCTAACTGAACATACCCCTTAAAGCATGATGTCAGAGAATGGGACCGGCTCACCAGATTCACCCAGCTCCCAGCATAGCATTCCACTAAACAGGAGAAAGAGAGAGGGTTCAGTGAGCGAAGAGGAGCTACCCCCTCCTAAACGGAATTCTTATCATGCTGTCTCTGTGAAGTGCCTTGTTCCTCATCAAGTACGTGTACGCTTTGTCTGAGCAGGAATTTAGAAATGTTTGACCTTTTTAAGAAATTTAAAGCAGTTTGGAACATGTTTCACGTTTTTAAGGAATTTAAGCAGTTTGAAAAAAAAGGGTGTGACTCGCAGTTTGAGCTACTGAAGAGCGTTTAAGACAGATTTTGTTTTGAACTTGTTGATTGAGTAAAACAAGTCGTGCAATTCATGGAGCATTTTTAGAATAACACATCCAAGTGGGCTGCTGGATTTAACATAATTCTCGCGCTGTAATACAAATAGCAGTAATAGACTATAAGAGGACTGTAAGAGTGTGACAAGCAATATGACAGTGTTGCACTGAATACTCTTATCAATAACCCGTACATTGTCTGACAAATTAGTCCCGCAATGGAACATTCATTTGTCCTTCACTGTCTAGATTGGCGTCGTTAATTTGCCATGATCTGTAGAAATTTAAATGACTGGAATTTTAAGTGATGCTTGCAAGGTCAGGAACAATTAAATTGATGTTATTAATTCAACAATAGAAGCCGGGCGAAACGTATCTGAAGACTGTAACTATCACGTGATTACCTTATCGTAACAATTATTTGTTTCCAGAATCTTCTACATTGCAAGTGAAACCAGTTTTTACCCGATAGAAAATTGCGCGACTAAGAATTTTTACCGACAAACCGGATTTGAACTGTGATGCAGCTCACTGTCTTTAATTTTTTAAATATTCTACGGCTCTATAATTATTGTACTAGCAACTTAACTTGGATTACTCATAAAATCTACCCCTATGCTAAGATTAATTAAGAAAGCTCTAGAAAGTTAGAAATATGTTCAAACCAACATTTAGACGACGACATGTCTACTTTTCCCCAGAATCACCAACGAACTTTATTTTGTCATGGCCTGGCATCTTAATAAATAATTAATCTTCTTTCAGATCGCCGGAAAACTCCTTGGTAAAGGAGGCGACAAGATGAGGAAGCTCAAAGAAGTTGCACCTAAACTTTTTATGAGCAAAAATGACGAGTACTTCCCTAATACAGATGAACGCGTTTTGTTTATCGGCGGATCTCTGGAACAGGTGAGAATAAGTGATATGGTGAATAAGAGATATGGTGCTTATTTCAGAATAAGAGATATGGTGCTTATTTCAGAATAAGAGATATGGTGCTCATTTCAGAATAAGAGATATGGTGCTTATTTCAGAATAAGAGATATGGTGCTCATTTCAGAATAAGAGATATGGTGCTTATTTCAGAATAAGAGATATGGTGCTTATTTCAGAATAAGAGATATGGTGCTCATTTCAGAATAAGAGATATGGTGCTTATTTCAGAATAAGAGATATGGTGCTTATTTCAGAATAATAGATATATGGTGCTTATTTCAGAATAAGAGATATGGTGCTTATTTCAGAATAAGAGATATGGTGCTTATTTCAGGCCACATTTGTGGTTTTACCGGCAGTATATCACAACCTTCATTAAATTGTAGTAATCAGATACCCCATTCCCCTTCTTTATGTTGAACTTGATATTTCCTTGGCTGACTAGATTAATTTTCAGGTGCATACTGTTCTGGGGGAGGTCCAATCAAAGATTGTGGGGGCCTCGCAAGATGTCAACATGCACAATCTACCTCCGAAATGGAGACTAAACCAAATGAAACTAGTTGTTGCTAATTCTACTTGTAGCAAGATTATTGGTAACAAGGGAGAGGTGAGAGCTGAGTTGGATGTTAACTTCCGTTTAGATGGGGTTTCAGTCAAATATATCTGAGTGAAAATTTGATTAAGTGCACAAAATTCAAACTAAACCTGGTAGAAGATTTGTTTGGCTGTATTAATGTGCTGCTGAATTTAAAACTTTCATACATGGACGATTAGCTTAGTTGGCAAATTATAAACGGAGAGGTTGTGGAAATAACAAATCAATTCATTGAAAAAGTCTGATCTTAATTCAAGGAATGTTTCATTGAAAGTTGAGGTCCATTCAACATCCTAATTTTTTTCCAAAAAAAAACAAAAAAACTTCATTTATTAATATGTTATTTTCTACGAGAAGAAATATCTATCTTGCCATAGAATATTTCATCAGTCATGCAAACTCATCATACGAGAGTGTCTTCTTTCGCTGTACAGCACAATATGTTTTATAGGTAATTAAACGGGTCCGCGAAAGCACTGACACCAAGATCACCACAACGCCACTAAAACAAATTGTGGGCAACGAACGTCTCATTACATTGTCGGGAAAGGACGAAGACGTACAGGAGGCACTGCGCCAAATCTTGGTGTAAGTATTACACAACAGATCGTCATGCTGCATTAAGATCTTTTAACCACGGCTTGATTTATCCTTAAGGACACTTTCTTCATTATTATCTTCTAGCATAAGGTTGCTTTGATGATCGTACTGTTTAATTGGATTGATGTTTCTTGCAGTCATACAAACATTTGATTTTATTATAAGCCTTCCATGTCTATTTTCATGAAATCAGGAAAATTATGTTTGAGCATTTCCTGATACATGTATAAATAGATGTTGTAACAGTAGCGAGTTGTAGCGAGCAGGGTACTAGAAGCACTGAAAAATGATCAAAATAAATACCTCACCAAGAGTTTACCTAAAATCAGGTTGGTTGAAGAAGACAAGGATGCTCGCTTACAGAATGACGTATCCTACAAGAAGTTCGCAACCATCCACAACCCTTACATCACTAGCGCAGCAGCAAGTGTGGCTGCCACAGCTAACTGTGCCTTTACAACCCAAGCTAACCCGAACCCTTATCTTGGGTTTACTGGGGCAGCACCCGCCTGGGCTGCTAGAGCAGCGGGCTGGGAGAATGGTTTGATGCAGGGAATGTTCGGACCTGTTGCTACCACAGTGGGGAACAGTGCAGGACCAAGCCAGCATGTCCAGCAGTTACACCAACACACTGCAGCTGCAGTTGCAGCCGCGGAGAAAGCAAAGGCACCTCAGGTATGGTATGATGCTATGCTGCTGGTGACCCATGGCCATGTTATTAGTTTGTTCTTCCCTCCTTGTAGTATAATAATGATTAATTTCATAATGTTTATTATGAAATTAATCAAGAAGCGCTATCAGCTGAAGATTTGTTTTGAAAAGTCGATTTCATATTTGAACTGACCATAATAACCCAATAACAATTTACAGGTTCAAGTCAACGGAGCTCTACCTAACCCGGCAGCTGCAACTGCAGCCGCAACTGCAGCTGCAAGTGCAAATAACCCATTGGAACTCCTCGGAGCTGCCGCAGCAAGTCTTGGAGCAGCAGCTGCATCGGGAAACAACAACGTGGTGGTTAATAACGCTACTATGATCGAATGTTTAGGAGGACTTATCGCACAGATTGCGCGACAACAGAGAATGAACAATGGCATGTTTAATGGAAACTAAAATCTCATGGCAGATATCGTGCTCATAGACATGATATATCATCTCTTTCCGAGGCTGTGAGAACAGATCTTCGGAATTATTGAATGCAAGATCTGTGTTCTTGGAACATGAACAGGCGAGCCATAAGGCAGCATAAACACTAACTGGTGCATGGTTGCTGGTTGCTCGGATTAAGAGATAATTTTGCATGCCTTGAAAGGTCAAATTAATCGAAAAGTTCAGAATCCATTAAACTAAATGTCTATGGGCACAATCTGCCATTACCGTGAAAACATGCCAACAAAGAAAGACTGGTTATATGCAGGAGTACCCAGTCAAAAGTGTAGAGCACACACAATGGCCAGGATATTCGTGGCAATCAAATGAAGATCGAAGACCGTAATATTGATATATTTGTATGCCTTAATGATCATAGCAGCTGTAGTGGTGAAGTTTTATGTAGACCGTTTTAAGTTTCCTATTATGATGTTTTATTAGTTGAATTTATACCTCACGTAACTAATCTACGTAACTTACATAATATTATTATATAACCAGCAACAAAAACATATTATGTAATCATACTGAACTGGAAAGTATCGTGTTAAATGTTAATATTAATATGTTATATACCTGTTTTTTTGCGAGTAATGCGACTGTTAGGGCTTTAGTAGCCGAGTTGCGGTAAGAATGTGTTAGGAAGGAGTGTTTTTGTGGCTAGCTAAGGTGGTTTTACCCTGTGTTTCACCTGTTTTAAAACCATGAACCATGTTCATGAGTTTCGAGGCTAAAAATAAGATGTAATAGTATGTTCTATAATAAATCTGGGTAAAGTTGCCTAGCCATTAAGTTAATAAGTTGATCTAATGACCAATATGCCATTGACACTTCTATGGAAGGATAATAATGATTGTAAGAATCTCGCGTATTATATATTAATAAAACCGATTATGATATTATATTGCTTTGAATTGGGCTTACAAATAATAACCTAAAACACCAAATATTCGATTGATGACCGACTGGATGATTTTAACACTTTCTGTCACACATATAATTCAAGTTTTGTCAGCAATAAAAGATCATGGAAAGCTCTCCTTTTGTATGATGAATAAGTTTTATTGACTGCCTTCTTTCTTAGCCAATCGTCAGGTCACAAAGTTACGGTCACAATTTTAAGATTGGTGTTTGCGGTTTTAAATAAAATTTAATATTTTTTGTTACTGATAGTAAAGATTACGTTAATAGCACGCATGTTTATCTTGCAAGATTTTCCTTTAGCTTCAAAGCAAAGGGGAAATCTTGGCGTTTCCAATGATACAACGATATTGAACGAACCAATCCAAACTAAATTTATTGATGTTTGCTAGTTATTTAATTTTCAGTTTTCACCATTTTATGCCTACTAATATCTCTGTGTTGAGGTTAACTTATATGCAGTATATTGTTATCAATGTTTTTTTTACCGTCAAACAATTGCTGGGACGGGAAAAAAACTATGAAAATGACTTACAGAATTCAATTTAAATTGAAATCGCGGGTCTTCGAACTGAAAAACCTTTTATTATATTATATCAAATCTCTCTGATCTTTAAATCTTTTTCATCTATTAAAGTTTTCCTATTTAATGCAATAAGGTAGTCTATATTCTGATTATGTAGTCACTGTGTACAATACATCAATGTGAACTTAGTTGGTTTCAAAATACAATTGGATAATTGCAATCTGATCATAGGACACAAATATATCAAACTGCATAACGTTAACGTTCTAAGATGAACAAGGCTTTTTATTGTTCATGTTATATGTCAATTTTGTCATCGCTAGCTATAGCATTAGCTGTGTTGACAAATAGAACCGGTTTAGGGTCGAATTAAATTAAATTCTCTAACGATTGTTGTATTGGCGTTTCAAGTAGTGATTAGGAACCGACTAATTACTAATTAGTAATTAGTAATTAGGAACCGACTGGATTGCCTTCAGCATTAACATACTTACCAGACGAACTGGAGAGAGCAACCCGGTGGCCGTACTGTCGGGCAAAATACCGAGCAGGACTATTTAACAAGAAAATAAGCTCTCGCTGATTGCTGAACCGGATCCCTGGTCGGTTCCTCTACTTTACGAGTGATATTGCTTTAAGTTGTATCTTCAAAATCTGTTCTGAAATCGAAAGAATGTTGCAGTTTATAAACTCAAGTTATAAAAACGTATTAAAATGTTAAGCTGTCATTCTGATATTATGTGACGTGTATGTGTACCTGATACAGAAACATTTATACGATCTATCGTAACAACTCTTGCGAAACTTGTTCAATTTTCCGTTAAATGGATTCAGTTTGAATTTAAAGCCTGTCGGGAAAATTATTTTGTTAAGTTTCATAGATTTTAACGGACACAATTCAGTCAAGTTTGCTATAATGCAATAATTATATCATCGCCCAGAAAGTGGATCGATCAATCTTTAATTTCCTTACGTTAACCTTGGGTTATTCTATATTATACTGTTATTAACTTCATGTAGAGAATGTTAAATCTTAAATTTCAAAATAAAACAAATCTGCCGTTATTTGATGTGTTGGGTCAGAGAAGAAAGTTGGATAAACTAACACTTGAGCGGATCTCAACGTGTTTTCGATTAGTTATGATATGATATACTCCACATATATTATCAACTGACCCATGGATGTTCGATGAGAAATTTGGTTTTCTCTTGAGTGGATATTTTGATGTGACTGAAGCTGAGTACTGGATAGGGTTCGTGTATTGACAACTCTTATGGTTTAGCATAATTCGTTAAATGTAGATCGATGGTTTATCATATTATGCTACTATCATGCATTCGGAATTGACTCAGATGAAGGTAAATTTTCCTTATATTTTGTTCGGGGTGTTGATGAAACTAATTTTGTTTCGGAAGCGATGATGATACGGCCTACGCGTACGGGTCAGTTGTTACGACTATGAAGGGCTGAGAATTTACATCTGCTCTTTAAAATTGTTGAGACATAAAATTTGTCTTTAATTAAAGTCTAAACACAAACCGTGTTGCAAAATTTTATAATTCTGTTCAATAAAATTTGTCTTTAATTAAATTTCAAACACAAACCGTGTGCTCGAAATTAGTGTTCACATTGTTCATGCAAACTATCGATTAACAAAACATAAGACAGTCATTGCCCACCCTTCACTAGTAATATGGTAATTAGATATCAAACATAGAATGTGGATGCACAGTCTCAATTATTTTCCCGGGACCCGTGGGATAATTAGTGTACTGATTATTTTTCAGTTCTGATTGCAACGTTTTAATTAACAAAACCCGTGACTGTAAATATTTGGCGATGCAATAGTTACTTATGCTGACCAAATTTAAGTTTCGAACTGATTTTTTAGCTTAACTCTTATGATTTTGAGTCAATATACCAATTTTTGGACATGTCTGGGATTTTCCTAAATGTGCGAAATTCATTAAAGCCTAATACAGGTGAAATAGATTGCATATTTTTTGCATCAGATATAATACAGTTATCTAATCTATAGAGTTGTTATTCATATAATACAGAATACTGACATTTTGTTGTAAAAAAGAATGATGCGTGTCTTATTTTGTTTTCTCTTTTTCCAAATTTAACATCTAAGAAATTGTGAAGGAAGCAAACACTTCAAACCATCCCAAATATGGCTCGGTTGTCTGTTGAAATTGAAAATATCCACGACAGTTCCACATGACATGAAGATGAACTTTGTCAGTTTATTAAATCAGTAGAATCCTGATAACAAGCCTGGTGTTTCGATATCCAACATTATTCTGTCTCATCCAAATTGCATAAACTGATTTAAGGTTCAAGTGTCGTTCTATCGAACCCAAAATGATAATTCCCTGAATAATATTGTACACTGTATATTATATCTCAGTTCTCACTACTATACATGGACGATATCTCAGGGTTCTACTGCATTACAAGTTTACAAATTCTCGAGATAAAAATACCGTTGATTAAATATCCAAGGTGGAATATCTAAATAAGTTGATTACTTCACATATTTTCAGCGACATGGAGCTAAAAGGTCAGATACTAATCTACTCGGAGTCTGGCTGTAAAGAATGTATGAATATAAAAACAAAGCTGGAGTCCCTACTGCTGCCCTATGTTGAAGTGGACCTGGTCAATCACCCTGACCGTCGTATTGAGATGGAGAATTTAACTGATAGAGACACAGTCCCTCAGATATTTTTCAACGATCATCACATCGGTGGTTATTATGATTTGATCGACTTAGAAACCAGTGGTCAGCTGGACTCAATCATTGATCAAGTGAAGAATACACCCGTCCCAGACACTGCCCCCAAACCAGCAGAACACAGCCCTAATTGTGATGGTGAAATTGTTGGTTGGAACAGAATAAAACTGGAGAGTTTGCTAGTAAAATTGGCCGACCAGGGCGTTCTTTCGTCTCACAGAAAGATGTTTACTGTTTACCACTGCTCATTCCATGGTAAGGACCTTATTGCTTGGCTGACAAGCCAAGAGATGTTGTCCTATCAGGACGCTCTAAACACAGCAGGTGACATGGTAAAAGAGGGACTTGTAGTCCATGTAACTGATCCACAGCACCCGTTTGCAGACAGTTCTCAGCTTTTTAAGGTTGTTGGTGCTGATTTCCCGTCGGCCCTGAATGCTGGGATCACACAAAGCTGCGGTGATCAGTCAGCAGTTCAAATCAGTGAGAATCTCCGGAGGATAATGACGTCACTGTCAGGGCGGCACATTTCAGAAGAAGGATACAAAGTGGACTACGAGGGGATAAAAACAGATGTTGAGTTTGCTAAGTACGTGATGACTGCCCAGTCTCTGCAGCGGGTGAGTCTTGCAGGGATTTCTAAACAGGCACTGATTGCCATGTTCATCAACATTTATAACGCATTGGTGGTTCACGGTATTGTCAGTAGAGGTGCCCCTTCAAACCATTATGTAAGATACAAGTTCTTTAAAAACGTTAGTTATGTTATAGCCGGGCACAACTACTCACTAAATGAGATTGAAAATGGAGTGTTACGTGCAAATCGCAAAGGAATGGCAGATTTAAGCAAACCATTTCCTGTTGGAGACCCACGATTGTCAGTGGCTCTGGAAAGTCCTGAACCCAGGGTACATTTTGCGTTGAACTGTGCTAGTAAAGGATGCCCTCCGATACGATTCTACTCCCCTGACAAGCTAGATAATCAACTGAACAAAGCTACAAAGAGTTTCCTTTCTTCGGGGGGCTTTTCAGTGAACAGTGACACTCACCAAGTTTCTTTGTCACCGATATTGAAGTGGTACAAGGCCGACTTTGGTAAATCAGATGCCGACATGTTGAAGTGGGTTTGCGGTTTTGTAAATAATACTGATGAGGGTAGAGTATTACAGGAACTTATTGATACTAAACAGTTCAAAATAGTTTGGCAGGATTACGATTGGTCGTTAAATCATTGATTTAATTAATCAATATTAAATATCCGTTTATATAGCAGTGAGTTTAAAGATTTTTTTTCTGTCAGAGTTATAATACATTTTATAATATCTAAACATTTATTGATTTATTATTGGTTGGAGTGCTAAATAGTAAATTGTTGAGTTGATTTATATATTGTTTGAGGATGATTGATTTTTTTTTCCAGATCAGATTTTTTTGGCATTATTTGAATAAATTATTAAACGTCTTTTATTTGAATCAGAAAAGTTGCTTCTTCTAAATATGACCATGATCGAATGACAAAACATTCTCCAAAATGTTGTTACTCGCCCGTATCATACTCATCACATTCTGATTGTCATCTCAAGATAATTCATTTTGCTCAATATCGACTATCCATTGCTTAAATACAATTTTGAAGGTTGAGTTTAGATATTTGAAACTTTCACCCTGTTTAATAAACTTTAGTTCTTGGCCGCTAGAAAAGCCTCTATTGAATCAAGTGTACCCTTAGCTAATGTCTGATAATCAAGAAGATAAGACTGAAACTGTGAAGACCTGTGACAACAATACTGCAACCAACAGTTTGAGTCCTCAGAATAACAAAGAAACAACAGATGCCAATGTCAAAGAGGATGAGTGTAGTAAACTGTTGGAAAATCTAATTGAAGATGAGGAAGCCGTCAAATGCAATGATGTCGACAAAAAAGCCAATGAGGATATCAAGGACTCAACTGATATAGTAAACGATTGTGAGGCCTCGGCCGCTCAACCTTCAGACATTATGATTAATACCGTAATGGCTAAGAACGATGAAAACAAAGATATAACTGAAAATAGCGAGCCAAAAGAATTAGATATTACTGATAGCCCAGCCGAAGACATCAAGCAGATTATATCTATAAAGGAAGAATTCAAAGAAACGCAAATAAAAATGGAAGTGACTGAGGGTAAACAACCTGACGGCCATCAAACGAGAAATTTATTCGAAACAGTAGGACTAGTTCTTCGTTCAAGTGCAAGTCAAGCAGATTCAAATCTAGAAACAGAGGAAGTTATCGAGCCGAAGGATGATAAGAATCACTCGCCTGATTCTACTCTCAACGTACCTGAATCTGCACAGGAAGGAACACCGTCTTACTGTGAATTCTGTGGCTTCCCAGCTGCTAACCCTGATGTTTACCGTAACCACATGAAATTCCACGACAGAACTAACGCAACATACACCTGCTATATCTGCAGTATGAAGTACAAGAAGAGGAGCACTGCGGTGGAACACTACCAGAACACTCACAATCTCACTGAAGCTGAGCTACGGAATTGTCAGACTTGCAAGTATGTCACTTCGGATGAAGCCGGTCTTAAAGAGCACATCCGGAAACATTTTCTAATCCGACCGCACGCCTGTGGTATTTGTTATCAGTCATTTGCCACTGTCCACAATTATCATCGACATATGGAAACAAAGCATACGGATGTAGAGAAAACCGATGTTGGGTACACCAAGCCTATTTCTAAGAGAAGACGGGGTTCAAATATTAGTCAAGGTAGAGCTTCTAATTCTAATAAAAGGTCCAGGCAAAATTCAAAAGTAGAAGAAGTTGTTAAACCATCACCAGAAGAAAGCAAAAGTAGTAAGTCAAAACCAGAGAAGCCAAAATCACCGGCAGAACCTGAGCCAGAAGAACCCAAACCAGAAGAATTAAAACCAGAAGAATCACAGCCAGAAGAATCACAACCAGAAGAATCCAAACCAAAAGAATCCAAACCAAAAGAAGAAGATGATATAATCCAACCGAAAAACTACTTTGTTTTGCCGACCAAAACGTTAAATCTTGTATGCTCATTTTGTGAAACTACCACACTCAACAAAAGGGAACTTAGTCAACATCTTTTGTCAAAACACGGGGATGAAATCATAACCCTCAAGCCTTTCTGAGTAACAGGGGGATTATTTGGACAATGTTTTTAGTTAACTTATTACTTTTTATTTCACCGTACAATTTTAATTTTAATTTCTATTAATTCTACGTTAGGTTGTTTGGTTTTCTTAATCAAGAAGTACTACGAATTATTTTGTTTTCAAAGCCTGTTTTATTCACAAAACGCAATATACTTAAATCTTATATTCATTTCATGATGTCAGTGCAATTTTTATGGCATTTAAAAGGGCTCATAATGTTAACAATTTCATACAGCATTACTAACCAATGATTTCGTTTTTGTAATCAGGATGTCGAAACTTGGAGATCAAATAAAAAATGAATTAGAGAATTTTGGACTAGAAACGCCGGAAGATGACGTCATGACAAAGTTGACAGGGATGTGCTCCACTTTAGCCATCAATCCGTCAGATTTCGCAGACGAGTGGATGGCATTCTCCATCAACAATTGGTCAGTGTAATAGCTTGATAAATTGACTAGTTTTTAGTTAGTTCTTATTTTTGACTAATTTAGTTGAACCCCTGAATTTCATCATCCAGTTCTTTTAAGCAGCGGAAAGAGGGTGCAATATTATTGTATTTGTATCAATTGTAGAAATCTCCAACCTCTACCTTTCTAGTAATTTAGATTTGGACATGGAAGGAATAAGCAAGTTTGAGATGTTCAAGATGACGAAAATGAACCAGTCTCCTGCTGTAAAGAAAGAAAGGAAGAGCATTAAACTGAACGCAACGACCCATATCGGAGATCTGTTTGATGATATCCTGGACGCTTACATTCCTGAATCTTCGCCCGTCAGGACCTCACAGTCACAGGTACGGTGATAATACGAGTTATTCGGAAAATATTTTCTGTGTAATCAATTTTCTGTTTGCTAATGTCGCGAAGACACCGTTGAAATAAGTAAGTTGTTATTCACTAAATGAAATCTTATCAGCAGTAAGATATTTACTATTATCTAGAGTTCCACTACAGGGATTTGCATTTTTAATATTACCATTAATTCCCAGAAAAGGCCGCTAGAAAATCCTGGTTCATTCCGTGTACCGAAAGTCAGTAAAACTCCTACCCGTGCCCCACGTACGCAATCGAGAACTAACAGTTCCCTACCTTGTTCTCTTTCTCCCATCAACGCCTCACCTTCTCAGACATACAGCCAAAGAAAGGGCTCAGGTTGGTCGCTGTTTAGCGTTACATTTTATACACATTTAGTTAATTAGTTACACGTGTAGCTGAGCTAGTGTTTTGGTTTCCGACCATTTTGTTGAACCCGATCATTTGGTACCACAGATGTCAGATTGAGGAGTAAAAATGAAACACTATATTTTGAAATGCAGTTTGTATTCCAGCTGCCAATGATTTGTCGAAATATGACTTGACAGTCTAGAATAATCAGAATAAAATTAACAACTCAAAGCCCCTTGCAATTGAAATCAAATGTTATAGCTATCATCTATCCAATATAATCCAATCATTCTCGTCTCTTTGTCACACCTATCCAATAACCATCATGCTAGGTTTGCGTACACATCAATTGCAAACGAAAGGTCTCAACATATAGAGCATGTCCATAAAAAATTGAAATCACCTTTGATTACCCAGATAATATAATATGTGCTCATCGGTCGAACGACTGGATGAAAGTTAAGCCGAGGCTTCAAGCCTCAAAGGCTTGAAAACTGGATTGGGTTTATTTTTCAAGTATAAAGCATAGAGTTTAGGCGTGCACCATGTTTCAGGACGGGTTGCGTGTGGTGATCTAAAACTAATTCAGTTTTCTAGGCTTGGACTTGACCCGGCTTTCGACCAGTCTTTCGACCAGATGAGTGCACATACGAATAATATGCTACAGATAAATTTTCAACCGTTAAAACCTTCCGGCCTAATCACAACCATTTTTTGCGACTGATGTGTTCACATTCATGATCCATGTAAACTTTGGACTCACACTCACACACCCTAAACATTGTAAGACCTCTCCTTGTTCCTCGTGCCTCTGCTCTTAACCTGTCCTCTGAGATCTCCCATCAGCTCCTCTTTGTTCCAGGTCTCTGGAGACTCCGCAAATCCCTTCAGCACGTCGTCCAGCAAGTCTGTTATGTCGAGTATGGCTTCAGAGTCTGAGTCCCTCTTTATCTCCTCCGGCTGATGTTTAGCTGGAATAGGTTCCTCTCCTTGTCCGTATGCCAGCCTGTTGAATTTTCCTTCTTTGGCTCGCTTGGTCTGTTCCACGGATACAACAGCTGGATTCTTGCTCTTCGGTTGTCGGAACGCAAAGAATGACTGGCTGACAATACCAGAAATCATTCCCAGCAACAAACAACACTTGAGTGGTTTCATCTCTGGAGCTCGGTGAAGATATGATGCTGAGTCTGTCGGTTCCCAGCGTAAAAAGTGTAGAGCTTCCAGCTGCGTCTGGTTTAAATACATTTTCTTTCCTTTTGTTTTGGAGGTCACCCTTTGTCAGGGTGGACAAAACGTTAGTGCTCCACTCCTTAATTACAGAGAAAACAGATTAATTGTGTTTCCGTATAGAGCGTCCAAGCGGGTTTTCCTATTATTTTGTGAGAGTTATAGAACACATCATTAAGCGGACAAGAAAGGACCCTTTTTACCAACTTTTCGAAGTCTTGAGATCTTAAAAGGCGTAAATAAAACGCCAGGCGATCTTGGCTTTCTTTAATTCACGATTTTAAAAGAGGAGCAAGAAATCAATCAAAAAATAAACAATAAAAGTGTTCAATGTGACCAGTCACTAAAACCAACTCTTTCTCATTACCCAACTTACATCTCTCTTTATTCAGCAGATTGCTGTCATGTTGGCTTTATTTTCTCCCTTATTTTCAATCCAATCTTAATATTCAACTCGCATATTCAACTCTCCTCCCTGTTGTATCACAATCTTATCACCAACAACATACTACAACATAACACAAGACATTGGAAACACGTTTAAACACGCACAATATTAAACGAGATATTATCGTGAACATAATATTTAACACATACATTACAGGAGATATAGTGAACACGTTTAACGAAGGAGGATTAGATCCGGTAACGGATTGGTCCGGACAGGGTGGTGGTGTTAAGATCACCCTCCCCTCCTCTGCTCTTACCAAACCATACCAGTATATGTTCCAGAAGGTAATATATTTAGAGCTATGTTTCGTTAAAAACCAGTGACCTGGTGTCAAAGCTCGTGTGAAGCTGTCAAGCTCGCGTTAAGCTGTTTTAAAAGCTCGTGTATTATTTTGAGGAGTTCCTTGATTCGTCTCGTGGGTAGTAAAGTGTCTTCACTCTGCATGAAATTAAAGCATGTTATAGCAATATGATCGTCTGACATACATATTTAAATGTGTCTGTCTACAATCGACCTTAACATCTAAATATCATGGATGGAATAGGCTTCTAATATGTCCAACATTTAAATGCTTCTTCAATATTCGTCGCCAACTTCCGTTTTCCTTTTAAACCGCCACTTACGTTAAATGCTTACATGATTTGTCAGATTTGTGACGGTCACCACCCTGTCTCAGCCCTGTCTAAACCACATAATCCTCCCTCAGCTATCAGCCAAAGCAGAGTCACTGGACGAGCATCTGGATATTATGGGTGAGATGTTGGCGACACACCACGGGGTTCAGTTTGAGAACCTGGCTAAACCTTCTCAAGGGGAGTGTCGAGTGGTGGGCAGGGTCTGCTGTGATTCAACTGGTTAGTGTGGTATATACTAGTGTAATATAGTGTAGTATAGTGTAATATAGTGTAATATTGTAGTGTAATATAGTGTAGTATAGTGTAGAGTGGTGGGCAGGGTCTGCTGTGATTCAACTGGTTAGTGTAATATATAGTGTAATATAGTGTAGTATAGTGTAATATAGTGTAATATTGTAGTGTAATATAGTGTAGTATAGTGTAGAGTGGTGGGCAGGGTCTGCTGTGATTCAACTGGTTAGTGTAATATATAGTGTAATATAGTTTAATATAGTGTAGTATAGTGTAGTATAGTGTAGAGTGGTGGGAAGGGTCTGCTGTGATTCAACTGGTTAGTGTGGTATATACTAGTGTAATATAGTGTAGTATAGTGTAATATAGTGTAATATTGTAGTGTAATATAGTGTAGTATAGTGTAGAGTGGTGGGCAGGGTCTGCTGTGATTCAACTGGTTAGTGTGGTATATAGTGTAATATAGTGTAATATTATAGTGTAATATTATAGTGTAATATAGTGTAATATAGTGTAGTGTAGTGTAATATAGTGTGATATTTTAATCTTTTTCTTTCTTTTTTAACGGTGTAATCCTTTAACATTTTGTATATCTTGCTCCGCAAAGTTTCTTCAATCGTAAGTTATAAAACGCATTGATCATTACTTTAAGCGGCAGGCTAGGGGGTCCTAGGTGAACTAAGCTATGATATGCCGGAATACTGAATAGAATTAATTGGTTTTCTGGACAATGGCTCAGAAGGTTGAGGCTGGATTTAACAGTTTTTATCGTTCGGGATCGGAAATCACACGTACAATTCAATTACACAAAAAATATAATCTATAGGCAGCGATATCGAATATCGATATCTCATGTTATGAAATATTATCAAAGTTTTCCGATAAATTGAAAAAAGTATCATTTCTAGTATGTATCTTATCCTCTATCCAAAAAACATGAAACCTCCAATGTGGTTCTGTTCGACGCGATGTGGAGCATTCGGGAACCAATACTTTAAATGATGAAATAAATGACCCCAGTTTGATTTAATAATACCCACGCACAAAATGAACTGTTCATTTGACTATATTTGGACGATGTCTTTGGAAATGTCCCTCTTAATGCGTATTCAAGTTTCGACACGACCCCCGACCCTATGTTTAGAAGGTTATATAGATAATATTGTATATAATATAGCTCACTGGTGTTCCCTGACTTCTTGCCTTCTTGCGAAGCGGTAGTAACTGTAGTAACTGTAGTAACTGTAGTAACTGTAGTAACTGTAGTAACTGTAGTAACTGTAGTAACTGTAGTAACTGTAGTAACTGTAGTAACTGTTCCATCCATCTAGCCGTTCTCACATTGGCAACTTATATTTTCAATATTCTTCACGCGTATATGAGCGGGACATTACCTTATTTCATTTCACCAGGTAAAATGAACGCATCCTCGGTTGTCCTGGAGGGATCCCTTGATGTGAGTTATGGAAAGAGAGTCTCGGTTGATCTGCGAGCTTTGGACAAATACGCGCTCTTTCCTGGGCAGATAGTGGCTCTTGAGGGTACTAACCCATCTGGTAAGTGAACCACTTTATTAGCTGAATATTATCTAATAAAGGAATCTATTTAAAAGGAATACCTTTACTAGATACCTTTACTATACAGATTGTCAGTATATATTTATTATACCTTTACTATACTGTATACAGATTGTCAGTAGCAAGCAAGATACATATAATTATAAATCAAATTTAACACAGTTTGTGTTGAATTACGTTCGCTGGAAATTCATTCCTGGCCAAAGTCCAAAAGATGATAATCAATTATAAACCTAATTGGAAGTTGCTGCTTTGATATGTATTTTGTAATATTGAACTGTCATTGAATTATTCCATTTTAGGACGCAAGTTCATCCCAACTAAGATTCTGGATCCTGTGCCACTAAAAAAGAAAGTGATAACTTCAGACAAGCCTGTAACTATATTCGGAGCCTGTGGTCCCTACAGTTCTCAAGACAGTCTCTCTTATGAACCCCTAGCAGATCTCCTTACGGTAACATTCAGTAGAAGTCGAATAATTAGATTTTGAATTTAGATTTAAAAATTCAAATAAATTTTACATCAATGTATTACCATTAAATTTTACATTTTTGGAACCTTGTGTAATTTAGCTGTCCATTTGACCCAACCCTAATGTAGTCGACTCTATACAATACCACCTATGATATTATGTAATAAAATTATGAGCTTATCTTTTTGTGTATTCGCTGTGCTAGATATTCTAGATAATCGTAATTGAATTGTTCTAGGAAACCCCACTTCAAATATCGGAAATATTTGTTCTGAACATTAAGGGGACATATACAAAAAGCTTTTAAATGTCCTGGCCATGCTGTTAACTTCATATTAAGAAAGTATACATAAAAACAATAAGATTTGATACATTAAAAATTATTTTTGATGGTACTCACTTTCGAAAAAATAAATATTCCTATTTCGAAAGTTTTGAAAACTTCAGTCTGTCACTGTTATACCGATCTTTCAGTCATTTTGAACGTTTTTTGGCTGATTTTTTTACTGAATATTACTAACAATCCGTACAAGACGCCATTGAAAGGATTATATAATTGAACAATAAATGACGAAGTTACAGACCAAACAAGGTAAAACAAAAAATTAAAATTTTAGCCTACTTCTAAAGTTGTACATTTCACCAATCACCCGGGTCAGCAGATATCGCTTCAAAACAGCATGGCCAGGACATAAAAGCTTTTTGTATATATGTCCCGTTGAGCTGTATCTGTAGTATCGTGAAATATGCTGACATTAAATGTAACTAGGCTAACGAAATAGGCTAACACAGTAGTTGGCACCACCACAGCTCAGTACCACCACAGTACCACAACATTACCACAACATTACCACCACTGCGCCAGTGCGCCACAGTACCACCAATTATGATATAATAGAGCTGAATTTCAAAGAAAGTGATCATGCAGCACAGAACGTGCTCCTAAGTGCCTTATCCAACCCAAATTGATCGCCCATATCAGACAACGGGCGATAACCTTTTCATTGACAATACAATAGAATTAATGCACGTGTTGTGCACGTGTTGTGCACGTGGTGTGCTATGATGTGGGAGCTAGTGCCCACGTGCACACTTCATCTCTTGTACTTCCCGTAATGGTAGAAGTCACTGTAAGGTGCAAAATGCACTAGATGTATCTGTATACCACTTTACAAGTGCAAGTCTCGCTGTCTGGGTTACACCTAATCTACCTTATAACAAGACAGCTTGTAAACTTTGGTGGTGCTCGTTTGTGAGATCTTAGCAGCTTGACAATTGGACAAATGCCACAATCACTAAATAATCTTAACAATTGGACAAATGCCACAATCACTGTACTGTTAGTTCAACATATTATATACAGTTTAAGTGATTCCAAATGTTCTTCTTTCCAATATTCCCTCGGCTGATTGATTGGAATTTCATTAATATATCAATATTAGGTTTTTAATCTTATACTAAACTCTAAAGTGACCGGTATGGGAAACAAGCTGGATGATGTATCTTGGAATGTTTGGGTGCTCAATATTACCTTACATGACCAACATTGTATACTACATTCTTTTGCGTTACACTATATTTGGTACGTGATATATCTCCTCAACGCCGCAACATTCCAGAAAGTAAAAGAAGAACTCCCGGACGTGTTGATACTGCTGGGCCCCTTTGTGGACGTCAAACACCCCCAAGTAGAGAAGTGTGATGTGGGGGAGATGACGTTGGAGGAGCTGTTCGAGAGTCAGATTAGACACATTCAGCAGAACATACCTGATTCTACTCATGTAAGAATGATTGAGATACAACATCGTGTTTAAAACAATAAGTTGTTTAGTGTTGTTGTGGCTTATTATATCGTACATTATTTCAAGTGAAAAGTGTGTGGTGCATAATTTACGTAGTGTATGCTAGGTAAATTCAGATAAATGTTCAAGTGCATAGTATTGCTAGTATTTGCTTAGCAATATCGTTAGATTACTTGTTCGACAATACTGATGCGGCACTTCTTATGGAAATTATCAATGTAAATACTTGTAATGGATATTTATTAACAATGAAGTGAAACGACGTGTACAATTTTTACATCACATATGATCATTTTATCGCAATTATAGTTTTACATCGGCTCTTCACTGCCTTTACCATACTTCCAATAAGTGGGGATTGCATTTAATCGATTAATTATCTGGTTTAATAAACTCCCGAACCCCTCTTTTCCCTCAGTTGGTAATAGTACCCTCACAACGTGATGCAGCCTGTAACTTTGTCTACCCTCAACCTCCACCAGACATGAAAATAACCTCACCCACTGTCACCTTCGCTGCTGACCCCTGTGTACTGGAGGTTAACGGCGTCTCTCTAGCTATGACTAGCACTGATGTTTTGTTTCATCTGAGTTCCGAGGAGGTGTTTAGAAATTGTTTGATTTATATTTTATAATGTATTATATATACATTATACATCATAATGATTGATTGATTGGGGGACTGGTCCGTAGTACCAGCCAATGTTTACTCAAAAGTAATATACATATAATTGAAATAAGTTAAAATATTCATCCCCGAGGGGCACGCAGATTATAATTGTGATGTTATCTATTAAAACTATTCAATTAAAATTTTATTGGTCAATTAAAATTTTATTGGGGTTTGTGTAATAATGTATATTGTATATGATGTGTCCATTGGAAACTGTCCAAATGTGTTCTTTAATTCATGAGGCGAAATCTCAGTCTCAATTAAAGATTAAGATAGCGTTTCCAAGAAATGTTACAACAAAGTCCGTAATTTCTTATTTCAAGCATCTGTCTAACAATATTTCCTATCCCCAGATCTCACACCCTCCCGGATCTGATAGAATGGGTCGACTAGCTGGACACTTGCTACATCAACAAACCTTCTACCCTCTGCACCCTTCATCTGAAGATGTAAACATTGATTACCCACATTTCATCAAACATGCTTTCTTCGAGTCAAAACCCAATATTCTGTTGATACCCTCAGATTTAAGGTATTTTGTGAAGAATGTACAAGATACTGTTGTGATTAATCCGGGAAAGTTAGCGAAAGGTTCGGGGACTTATTTCAAGTTATACGTGAAAGGCTCCGAACAGATTACTAACTCTACTTTCGTCAATATTGTTAAGATTTGAACACAGATTTGTTTTTAACTTTAGATAAGTTTTAATATGATTTTGTTGCTTAATGTTTGGACAGAGGTTTTTAATCTTGTAATTGTCGCATGAGATGCAATATTTATATTTGAGAATTGAAGCCCTCCGGCGAATTAATATGAATGTCGGACCGCGTTTTAAAGCAGGTAAGATTGGGGCTAAATGCGCGTTACTTAACAATTTTTGGCGGTTTATTTAATCTGTCTTTGTAAATATTTATTACATATTTTATTAGAATTTGAATTGTATGCAGAGTACTATTTCTATATACTTAATTCGACTATTCGAGCGTTTGAATTTTCCGTGCAGCTTCTGCCTCACCTATGAACTTGAGTGTAACCTTGCGTGCGCGGCTTAATTCCCCAGAAAATTGCAGTCTTTTCCATGGAAAGCACGATTTCGCGCACGACATCACAACATCTAAATGTTTTCGTTTTGATGATATGAGGATCTGTACGTGCCTGATGGCGCTAGTTGCTACACCACCACAATCTAGAATCTAGTATCTACAATCAGTCCACTTAGTATTTACCATGTAACTTTCCAAAGTCAAGTCTGAACAAGTAAAACTAAAATTCACCAACACGTCTAAGAACTAAATCTATACATGAAATTTCGTTAGACCTTTAAAAATAATCAGCATTAAATTAATAAATGCATTAAAATTACAAACCGAATGATTTTCAGGATTACATGATGGTGCAAGGATTCGAAAAAGTCACACTTAATAATTCACACTAAAAGAATACCGAGTTCATTATTTTACTCATTGAGGTAAGACAAAATAACATCAATGTCATCGGAGGATCCTAGATAAATAGGACACCGCTGGTGAAGTCCCGTGGGTATCAAGTCCAGTACCCTCTCGTCACCTCTCCCAGTAACGGACTTCCCGCCAGCCTGAAAAGCAATCGTGAAATTGTGTATGCTTACAACTTATGTTTCTGTTTAAAAATGGAATTTAATACTAAATCTGTAAAAAACAGGATAAAAACTAAAGGAAATAGTAACTGCATTAGTCGTACCTGTTCTACAATGTAAGACATGGGATTGCACTCGTACAGTAGTCTCAGTTTACCGTTGGCAGCGGTTGAGTTGGCCGGGTACATGAAAACCCCCCCGTAGCAAATAGTGCGATGCACATCCGCAACCATCGACCCGACGTACCGAGCAGCTTTCGGTTTACCACCGTCTTTTGGGAACTTGCAGTCATTCAGGTACTTCTGTAGTTTGCTGTCCAGGTATTGAGCGTTTCCTTCGTTGGTGGAGTAGATCTTGCCCTGTAAAATAAAATGTAAAATAACTCCATGTCAGGGAATCGAACCCTGGTCACCCGCGTGACAGGCGGGTATACTCACCACTATACTAACACGGAGATGTCCATTTTGAAAGTTGACTCATGTAATCGATTTGTAATCTAGGCAAAGTCTCAACGGATGATTATTGTGCGGAAAAAAAAGAATGTAAAAGAACTCCATGTCAGGGAATCGAACCCTGGTCACCCGCGTGACAGGCGGGTATACTCACCACTATACTAACACGGAGATGTCCGAATTGAAAGTTGACCTAATTAATTAATTCGTCACTCGTAATCAACGGAATGATGATCATGCAGAAAAAAAAATTATGCAAAAGAACTCCATGTCAGGGAATCGAACCCTGGTCACCCGCGTGACAGGCGGGTATACTCACCACTATACTAACACGGAGATGATCAAATCGAAAGTTGACTCATACAATTCATTGGTAATCTAGGCGCAGTCTCAACAGATGATTATTGTGCGAAAAAAAGAATGTAAAAGAACTCCATGTCAGGGAATCGAACCCTGGTCACCCGCGTGACAGGCGGGTATACTCACCACTATACTAACACGGAGATGTTCACAACGAAAGTTGACCTAAGTAATTCATTTGTAATCAACGGAATGATGATCATGCAGAAAAAAATATGCAAAAGAACTCCATGTCAGGGAATCGAACCCTGGTCACCCGCGTGACAGGCGGGTATACTCACCACTATACTAACACGGAGATAAAGACATTGAAATTAGACTCATAATATTTTAACGAAAATTTTCGCGTCAATAAGTTTTACGCCAAAAATTTGGACTAAATAGTGGACTAAATTTTGCGGACGTAAACATGTTTTTATGCCAACTGTAATACAAATCAGCCTTAACATCTTATGCTTATGATCTTAAATATCCTTTAAGGCAAAAATAAAAGTTCCCTCGAACCAGATTTGAACTGGTGACCTAAGGATTACTAGGGTTGAAACCGTTACAGTCCTCCGCTCTGCCAACTGAGCTACCAAGGGGATATATGATAAATTACTTTTGTAATAATAGTTGTACTATCTATTGTAAGCTATACTTTCCGGAATTTACGAAAGGCTTATGAATAAAACTTGATATATCTCAATTCTAATAACATAAAGCAGAAAATAATCGAGGGTTTAATCATTTCTCTGAGACACAGCGAGGGTTTGAGAGTACGATTGTGCGCGTTCCAACTTTCAAGTTGCGTAATAGCCAATATTTTAGATTACTTTTATCACTGTTTATGTTTTACAGACATCAATGATCATCGATCAAGATGCTTCTAATTGAAGTTGATCGTCTGCTCATCAACTTGATTGAATTTCATAATGTTGCATCAGTTTTATACCTGGGGATCTCAGGCTTCAGTGTTCATAAACACTGATTGAAGATATGGCGGAATGACAGGCTGAGTGCCGCCCATGAAATCAGTTTTGTGAAGCAGATAAGGTACATGATGTTAGTTTTAATCGATTTGATTACAACTGAATCGGGCATAGAGTTTGGATTTTAATCTAGGGGAGAACAAACCAGGCAGGAAATTGTAAGAGTCACTGATCGAGTTACAAGTCGCTATAAAATAAAATTTGCAGAATTTCTCATCTTCGTGTTATAAACCTATTTATATAGTTAACACGAGACTCAAATGGAGGCATAAGGGTACAAAAATTTAATTCGGACAATCTAGAATTGGAGAGAAGGGACGGAGAAGATAAGCCCACAATTTATTGATTCAGAAATTCTTTCGGAGGATGAAATTTGTTCTGAAAACTTTTTAAATTATTAAAACTGACCATATAGTTTTGGCTTTATATAGATTTCATGGCTCACTTTTATGCCAGGTGCAATCGAAATCCCATCATCCCAATGAGAAAACGAAAGCAGGTTTCTGTCCAGTTCTAATGTACCATCACAATAGTGACTTTAATATATGTATATTATACATATTATCAAGAAGTTGATTTCATCTAAAGGCCTCTTCTATGATGTAGCCACCAATTTTGGTACATCCGCCCCAGGACTTTATAAAACCGAAGTAACGTTAAACTGACGAACTTGTCAGTTACATAACACGTGACGTCATAACACGTGACGTCATAACACGTGACGTCATAACAAGTGACGTCATAACACGTGACGTCATAACACGTGACGTCATAACACGTGACGTCATAACACGTGACGTCATAACACGTGACGTCAGTCGAGCAAATGAAATCAGTTAACTCGGCCAGTATGAATTATCTTGGGAACTTATGGAGAAAGTGTCGACGAAATTCTCGGGTGAAACGGGAAACTAATCTGAAGTAATGCATACCAATGATAACTTATATTTCAGTTTCTCGTGTGAAAATATTTGATTAATGAATTAAAGGTGTCTAGACTGGAACACTCTGTGCCATGAACCATTCTTTCGCACTTAGATACAAATATTGTAAGTCATCCCCAAATAAACAAGTAACTTGAGTATCAGTAATTGAAGTTATGAACTAAAGTGTATCTGATCCGTGACTGATTTCCAAGAAATTCATGGTTTCCGAGAAACAGATTTCTGGATATTATGAAAGGTTTATTGGTAGTTTTCAAGTAACTGCTTCTGACTTATGTGCAAGCATACTTACTGCTTAAACATTCTGAAAATAATGAGAATTCTTCTAACAACAATTTTTACTGTTTGCGCGGCAAAAATGTTTTACAATTAAGTAGAAAAATGTGGAGTATTGGAAATTAGCAACTTCTCTTGTTTCGATGGTTTTACCGATATGAAATTACTTTATTGACGTTTACAAATTTACACTTTGCCGATAGTTTAATTATTTTGAAATATTCAGAAACAATGCAAGGTATGAGAAATGCGTAAAGCATGTCCAAATTTCAACATTACTTCATAAAATTTGGATAAAATGCAAAATATGTCAGTTTATCTGGAAACCTTCGTGAGGGATATAATATAACGGTTTAACAAGTTTTTTGTTGTTGAAAAAGTCGAACTCATTTACTGCAAAATTGTAGTTTTACTTTCAATTACAGTTTTATATTATACTGCAAATTATTATGACTGAAATTATTATTACTGTAAATTTTACTGTCTGACAGGACTAATAAATTACATTCCTAATAAATGACAGATGGAGGGTAGAAACTTTCGGACTATGATCGGCAATATGTCAATTTTCAAAACTCGGCCTCATGATTAAATTTAAGTTACAGTAGTCTACTTTTCAGTTTTAAGAAAGAAACTTGGTGCAATTCCAGCAAATAATATCCGCTGGAATTCTAAAAATTCGATATTTTTTCCCCATAAAATTCAGTTTCTGTTGATGTTACTACGAGTTGGGATGTTTTTTAAACATGTGAATTGTGAAAGCATTATCATAATTATGATGGATTGCAAAGGATATCTCAACACTGCTATACAGTTAAAAGTGGAGGATAAAATATCAACAAAATCCAAAAGTTTGCTATATCATCCCATATGATATCATTCCACTGGAGACTCAATAAATACCTTAGTCGGGATTCTCATGTTGGAAGCAGTAAGCAGTACTGGAGACTCAATAAATACCTTAGTCGGGATTCTCATGTTGGAAGCAGTAAGAATAAACTCTCCAATAGAAGGATCCAGAGTGAAGCCGTTAACACCGTGACCAGTTGAGAGGACCATCATACACGCTGTTCCAAACACACAGTACCCCGCTGCTACCAGCTTGTTGCCTGGGGGAGACGTTTATTTGATAATGTTATACCAATTGGTGAATAAACGTAATAAATAGATAAACTGAAACTTTGAAAAACATGGCCCCTCAGCCCTCACGGTGATTTATCGTTCACGCACTGATGTTTTCCTGAACAGATTTAAAGACCTTTTGATAAAAGTCACCCGTAACACGTACACGCACGTTACCATGGCAATATTGTTCTCCGCTAGCATGAAAAGTTCTAGATTTTAATTGATTTCAGAGGAAACTGAGATTTCAGAGGATACTGACCGTTATGGATGGCCATTTTCATTAAAAGAAGGGTGGACCAGAAATGGGGTCATTAGCTGAAGGGTGGGGTAAAATAGAAAGGGCGTTATTTAAGGACAAGGATTTGTCTTCGCTTGAGAGTTTTTAAAAGATCGGAAAATAAGTCACCTATTGTGGAACTCCCGTCCAATTCAAGATTTCATATCATTTAAAACCGAAATAGTTGAGAAAGCTATTCATACAATCTAGATTTTCACAAGAAAATCTAATAAGAAAATTCCGCTAGGATAAGGTGTTTTGTATTCATGTTAAATGTTCAGCAGCGGCGTGATACAAATCAGGAAAAAATAAACAGGATATTTTTAGAACTTTTTAAAAGATTGAACTGATATGAGCTATTAATCGCGATTATATTAAAATCTAACATCTTGTATGGTAACTGGTAGGTTGCACAGATATTCCTTAACCATTATTGTTCCCAGCTAGTACAGATTCATAATCAACATTCCATTGAGAAACTGTTAATACTGGACAGTGGAGACATTTTTAAAGGTATTCACAATTCTATTTTAAGTTTTGGAACCTAGGTATCATTCTAATTTCGTTCCCGGACGAAATACTACTCAAGATGCACGGTAAGCAAGTGACATTCACACTTCAAATATTAGTAGTGAATACTGAATAGAGATTTCAATAATTTAATTACTTTACTAGAGCAGCTCCATTGGTCCAGCTTATACGACGGCTGATATGAGTGTATTTCTCAATAACAACCACATAATCAACACCAACATCAAAAAGATATTTCCTTGTGTTTCAAGTATGATAAACACAAACAATGCCCCGTCAAAGATTGCACCACCTCTCACCTACCCGTTACTTTACGTTAATAGGACGGACAGTTCGTGGTATGTGCCTATTAACAACATATCTTACACCGGCGTTTGTCTGTAAACGCCCTCACATACGTTTGTCATCTTGTCAGGGAAATTTTCAAAATTGCTTTAACTATTTTCTTGAAAACAACTTATTGTTATAGTGGTACTTTTAGTGCTTTAACCATGCGTCAACCGTGCCTTAAGTCACTTTTTAATGGGTGTCAAACGTACGTCAGCCGTGTGTTGAGTCTCCGTCGACAGATTACCAAGTTGCCAGGGTAACGGATGCTGAATTAATGAAATGGCAAGTTGGCAAACCACTCTGACACAACAACCCAGGTACAGTGTTACTGCTTACTTTTCAACTGTTTTACATCATAGATGTAAAATTTAGAGATGAGAATAAAAGGCTACAGAGTAATGGGTAACCCCCTTCGAATTGAGCCAGGTCCATAACGTCTCAGGGACAAATGGAAATCACGGCATTTGCGGGATCGCGATTTTCCCATTCTTTGCAACAAATTTTATATGTCGTCTGTTTGGCTTGTCGCGGTATCGCGATTTTTGGCCAAAATAATCGCAATTTCTTTTGTCCCTGTAACGTCTGGAGAGTGGAGAATGTGGGTGAGTGGCATGGTGGGTGGGTGGTATGGTGGGTGATATATTGGAGCGGGATCTCAGATTCTCAGTTCTAAAAGGTCCGTCATCTCCAAATTTTAACCTAAGTCATTTAAAGAGTTCCGCACGTTTGACATTACGTACTTTTTGCCGGATAACTTACGTAATTTTAATCTTACCATCAAAATGGCTACAAATATGGTCTTATTATCAGTTTGTGCTCATGACCTGGAAATTACCAAGCTGTACTGATGGAAGAGCCGATCTTCACTTCCGTTGCTGCTGTCCAGTGTCCAATAAGCACTGTTTTCCATCTGACATAGACCAGAACAAAAGACTATAGACTCGGCTACTAATTGTGGTTACGTAAATATGTTTTGACAACTAAAAACGATTAAGAAATTCGCTTGCAGCTTGCAGCAGCAACCAATGAAATTCACGGATTGCTTTCATGTAGCAAAACAAATTGACGTCACTAAAGTGTTAAACTATAATTACAATACCACAAATCTTTCCATGAATCTTTCAAATTCATTCATGTAACTCTAGATTACGTGGAGTACGTAGATTACGTCTTGGTGCTGCGTCAGCTGGATGAGACTTGACACTTTTTTTACGAACTTTGTCCTTTATTTAAGGCCTTTGTATAAGACCAATAAGCATCCTGTGGTGAATAATACCAACTTTTCCTTTCCTAAACGTCGACTCTTAGATATGTTTTCCAACGGCCTCATTTTCACAGAAGTTGAAGTTCAACTTCCCTTGCACTCTATCTTAGTCAAAAAACCATGTTTAGTCTTTCAGTGCACATGGTAACGTCATGTCAAGTGACACTGACAAAAGACCAATTATAAACGGTCTATCGATTACGGTCCACGGAGGTTTCCCATCTCAACAACTACCCAGCCATGCGTAATCTGCAGTCTGCACAATACCCCCATCATCAGCAGCCCTGTTACCGTTAGATTTACTGCCCAGCTTCCACCACCCCACAAGGACAGCTTAGCGTCAGGTTACGGTCGAGTATCACTACATTACAGGTGGCACTATCATCAAATACGCCTGCACTATACTGTACCCTAATGAGAGTTTACTATTAGTACAATTAAGGGCTGTCAAGGACTGACGCACGGCCGCGTCCTCATTGTGACAGTGAGATGTTGCAAAATGCCGGACATGGGCGCAAGTTGAACGCCGGGCGTTGGTTGGCCGGGGTCCCCCCCATATTTCGTCCTTATATGGGGAGGTCAGTCGACAGTGTTGGTTTATAACCCCGCCACTTTCATTGGGAGCTCAGATTCGTACGTTGTCGCGACTGGTTAGTTTTCCTGATAAGCTCTGGTCTTAGACCTACCAGATGTTGCCTCCCATTGGATTAATTTAGAGCTGGCGTACTCAGTGTCTTTATTCTGAATTTTTGTATCCAAGCATTTTAATCCGGCAATAACTATTAGGTGCTTGGTACTATAATATATTCATAAGTTATAGGTGGAGCCATGTTAGACAGGCCAATATTGCATATTATTTTTATTAAATTATTATGATTAAATTATCATCGTTTTTATGAAATATTTCATCGACAAATTACGACACAAAAAAATCCTATGCTAATTCTGCAGAAAAATGGCCATTCTGTAGAATTTTAAATAGATAAGGTGATTTTATTTTCTCTTGGAAATTTTAATGGTAAATTTTGTTCCTTAAGCCACCAAATCGGAAAATAATTTGTACTTTTGATGACTTTATTGTTAAATATTAGCGTAGAATCTTGAATAGACAAGATGATTTCACTTTCACTTAGTTATTTTTGTAATACATTCCAATTTTCATTTCTTAAATCAGAAAATAATCTTTACTTTTGATGACTTTATAAGGTGAGATGGTAACGTGGTTCTGCCAACTCAAGAATTTATAAAATTCAACATTCCATGTTTTTAACAAACTCGGCCACTTCAGAAAATTTAGAAACCAATGATTTCAGTAAGCTCAGCGATAAATCCAGGCCCTGAGGACCTGGCCACTAGTGCTTGCAACCTGGTCTAGGGCTAACCACAAACATGTTGCGAGACTATCTCAGTACGGGCCGCAGTCTTCTTTTAAGCCGCAGTCTGCTCGACTGTTAATGTGGATAATTAAAAACAGACAGCCAATTTCAGCGGTGCTATCGCCCACTTCAATTATTCTTCCCCTGTCAGAATAATTGGTGAACATATTTCCTTTACAGCATGGAGTGCTGAGCAGCCATTAGGCAGTTACAACTGTCTACTCAGCACTGTTTAATATGCTATATCCAGCCACCATTCGGGTGGAAGTTGCACTATTCGTTTCTAATTTCCTGTATGTAGATTGCAGAGTGAACTTATATCGACCAATCTCAAGGCCGAGGGTATGAACTGGAAATTGCTATTAGTATTAGTCCACTATAGCCACTATTAATACCGTCATTAGGTCTCAACTTGTGTTGAGTTTACTAAATATTGTCTAAGTATTGCCGTGCATTCCTTGAATTAGCAGTGAGGAACCCAAAAGTTCTGCAGGCCGTTCGTTTTTATGTGGTAATGGTATCATCGATACAAATATCATTTTCAAATCAGAATTATTTGACTAAACCGTCTTTTAATTATTTTCACTCGATTTTCTACTTTTAAATCCAAAGATAGCTATTGCCTATTATGACACCTTAATATAGCATAATATATGATATATCCAAACTTCTTTCCCGTACAAACAAGCGCTTGATACAGTTATCTTATGTGAACATAATTAGGCTGTACTCAGAACTTGGCAGAACCCGACTGATTCAATTGGTAATGACGTCTAGGTTCGAATCTTCCTTGGCAAAGAAACGTTAACCACAGGGTTTTAAAAACGTATTAAACTGATACTTTTATCCTGGTGACAACACTTCTAAATTATATTTGTAGTGACTATCATATCATTGCATGTGTGAACTGTGATCTGGCCCGGATATCTTCGAGGAAGTATCCGTATCGACAGAAAAAATAACTTTCGGACGGTAACGGAACAATTGTACCGAGATACTGATAATTTCCTCCAGTTTAAAGGTGATCATCTTTCTCTTGGCCAGGGTACCGCGTGCAGTTGGAATCATCTAATCCTACAGTTTGTAGTGGCCGAGCGTATCAAGTCGATTACCACCATCCGTTTAAATTATCTATGTTTGAGTGTTAAAATTGCCCGTTATTAATAAGTTCTAGGAATGATCATATTGGCATTTTATTATACATTCCTTGATAAATTCGATAGTTTTGGATACTATCTGTGTTTGTTCGCAATTAACGGTTACCAAACCACTAAATGATTTATTAAATACCCATTATTAACCTTCTATAAAATCTGGTACGTGATATCCCCTTTTATTTCCCACTGGCATAAATCCTTCCGCTTTAAATCCACGATCGTTTGCATTCAGATAGAATATTTGTAATATTTTACTGCGATTACAGTGACTTATCAAGTAAACTTACAGTCTGATTTTGTTCACAACTCAGTCAAAATTTAGATATTCCATATCATTGAGACAGTCAAAGAATTCAGAATGCTTGGATGTTTCTTTAGAATCCCTATATCAATCGGTTATATCAAAGAAAGAGGGAAATGGGCCCCAAATAATAACGGCGCGGATGTTCCAATTTTAGACTGCATTACAAAGTTTTTGTCAAAATCTTTCTCTCTTATTGCCGAATTGATCACATTTCAATGACTGTAACCTTGATATCGATTGATTTATTATTATTTATATGAGTCGTTCTATCATCTGAGGACTGAATCTATCTGACAGGTGTGTTCTGTTCTTTTTTGTTCAATGGTCTCTAATTTTTTGCTGATTACCAAGAAGCAATTGTTGTCAGCCTCCGAGTCTTGAATTAGATCGGGGCAGCCAGCCTCCACCCCCTCGGCCTCCCTGACAATGATTGTCCTTTAATTGTTAACGTGACGATTTTCAAGACTAGATCGAAATGTTTCTACTTTCCGGGCGTATGTTTCGATATTATTTTCCGATATCATTGTAATATTTGCAATAGTTTGCGATTTTTTGTTTCATATTTGTCGATGATATCAGTAGGAATAATTGTTGGTACTTAGTTTTAAGACGTCGTCTCGAGGATGATAACAGTGGTAATGATTGTCCCTTGTCGGTACTAAATTTTTTTAAAAGTCGTCCATAACGGAGGCTTAAATTTTATGAGATATTTGTGCTCCTAGTCCAATATCATATCATTTCTTTAAAATTTCATACATTAGTCTGTAGTCACAATGTTTTTGTTCAAAATGTGGGCATTAAAAATGATCGCAGTTGATCTCAATTTTCTCATCTGTCCTTAGTATAATATTAAGTAATAGTCGCTTTGATAATAGGCGGTGAAGAAAAGCCAACTCGAGGAATTTGAAGATATCGTATTCAACAAGTGGTATTAATTATTAAATGCAAGATAGGAAATACATTCGCATCTGCTTTTGTTTGGCTAGGAAACTATTGTGCCCTTCTAGAAGATATCGGAGAGTATTCATCCGTAAGCAACAAAGACTTGATGAGTTGAGCTTGAAGATTCTGCCTTGCCATTGTTTAAGACTCCTCAGTTTTATCTCTCTTTCTTATGCTTCATGACTATCCTAACTCTTTTAGTGACACTGAAGCTTTATACTTTTGTGGCCCTTTTCGGAATACCCGTCTGCTTCCATTTCGAAAGAAGGTCAGAACCTGGGACAAATAGAGATGAAGGGGTGTTTTAACTTTGCGGTCAGAACTATTTCAAGCATGTGTTAAAATGCCTAGACATTACCGAGATGACTGACAGTGATTTAAAAATTCAGCACCATTTCGGCAGTTGTAGTGTGATGCGTATAAGAGCACGTGGGCCCCAAGTCCCGGTTTGTCTGAGGTAAAATCGACTATGTCTAACTAATTGCGGTAAAAAAAGTTTAATATCAGAGGTTAAAACTTAATATGTTGGGGCCAACCGGTCCCTGTGGCAGTACACAATCTCCATTATCAGCCGGCATCACGATTATTTTTAGTCTTCCTTGCCGAAGCGTGACTCAGGCGATTGAGAGAGTGGTTCTTAAAATAACCATAACCCTATGATTTTACGCCAAGCCTTGATATTTAGCACCTTTCTAGATTAAAATGAAACTATTTCACACCTCTAATAGCTGCTTTATCAAAGTTGTTGGCCAGAAGATTAAAAAGACAAATTATCACCGTGTTTTTAAAGTTCTATTGTTAGTTTGTTTAAGAGTTTTCTATATTTGTCAGACGTCAGTTGTCACAGGAATCACCAAATGGGCCAACTACATGACCTCAGACGGGTCTATCTGTCTATCTATAAATAACGGGTCTATGTATAACTCACTCACTGTCAAGACTCATAGGTGTCTTTGGCATCAATAGTTTTTGACTTCTTTTTTCTCCTTGATTGCATGGTCTCTTCGAGGAGTGACCTGGGCCACCTTGTCTTCTAACTCTCTTCTAGAATCCGTTCTTATTCTAGAAATACTGCATGATTAGTCCAGAAACTTTTAAGAAAGGATGATTTAATGCCGCCCTTCCAAAGAAATCAACGGTAAGCACTTATTATGCACCACCAGATTAAGTAATCAATTTATTTTCTTTGTGAATAGCCAATGCACAAAGAGAAAATGTGTCCTCAAATTTTCTCGAGCACTGTATTGGCTGAAAAAAGTGATCATGGCTACAATTATCTAACTGACTGGCCGGTGGAAGAGTTCTGGAACTTATTTTACAATAAATGACACGCGAAGTTGTGAAAGTTTTAAAAGGCCCGAGTTCTTTGTTTGTAAGCAACTCATTGCCTGGTAACTTTAGTCGGCCGTGCAAACATCAACAGTGCGCTCGGACGATACAGGTCTTGTCATGAATTTTGAGATATACACTCTCAAAATGTCGCACTTCAACTTTATCAAAGTCTTGATTCGTTTTACTGGTGACAAGATCATCAGATTAACGGCTAAGTCAACTCTTGTTGTTTAAAAGTTTTGACTTAAAGTGTTCTGCAGAGCTGAGCATTTAATTGCAGCAAAACTTACCGGTGACCGACACATCGTTAGTTCATACTCAAGGATAGAATTTGTTCAATAGCCCATTGATTACAGGTCGGTGCCAGCCTCTAGTCTCTCTCCGCCGAATCTTAAACAAACCCTACATCCCCTGGTGACCCATGACCCCAACTTAGCCAACTCTCAATCACGCTCAGTGCCGTGAGTGCGGTTTTTACCTAGACAACAGCCAATTTTAGCTAACAAAGCCCCCGAAAAGACATCTTCAATTTGTCACTGCGGACAATTCGCGATAATTAGTGTTTTTTCCTCAATATTATCGGTGCGGAGCCCGGTAAAAAAAGGAGATGATTTGACTCTGACTTTGTTATTTCCGACCCAGGTACGGTTTGATTAGCATTTAGCAGTGAACAGACATTACGTTCCTTTAATAAAGCGGTTCTCTCAATCATTGAGGTGTTCCTCGGTTCCCCCGTCATAAATCATCATAGTTTATTAACTTATTAATGCGTTGTTACCATCATAATTAGATGACATTAATGCGGATAAGTTCAAATAATTACGTTATTCGCATTAACGTATGAGCTTGTTACTAGTCTAATGATTGAACTGTTAAATTTAAATCATCGGCAGCATCCTAAATATAGAATGCTACGTCTACTTCTGCAGTCTGATATGAAATAATGTTCATGCTTGACGGACCACTACAGACAGTGTTTGCGTCATTGGATCACCAATTGCCGCCCTAAAATTAGCGTCCCCAAGTAGAACCATTCACTGCAGAAAGGCAACAGGTTACCGTCTACCGGCTCTAATTTAGAGATCTGGTCCAGATCAAAGGTGTTGCTATTCCGGGGCCGGACTATCCGTCATCATGACACGTCACAGCGGGGGATTAACCTGATATAATATAAATACCCAGTATCTTGTCCACCATTATTCAGTTGCAGTTTACATTTGGTTGGGATACTGATACTCTGCGGGGGTTGGGGTTTGTGGGGGTAGAACTTTTCAGTGGGCGCTTCGATTAAGCATGAGTTGGATTTGTCTCCAAATTCACAATTCAGCTCATGAGTGACGGATAATTAAACAACTTGTGGCATTGATTTGTCTTTTTAACTGTTTAATTTAATCTCGCCACTTTGCAACAGGGTTAATCCTTAGCTTAACCTTGCAATAAATCAAATTTGGTGCGGAGTTTGTAGTCTAGCACAGAAGTTCAGAAAACCGAGCCCAACTAACGAACCCAGATCACCACCAAAAACAAGACACACTGACCTTATCAAACGCGATAGCTCCGCACATGATCTTTCCAGGGCCCTGCCCGACTCCTCCCCCACGATCAACTATTAATTGTATGAAATTAACAATCGGTAATCCCTATATCCGGCCCTAATCAGCTTATGTGCACTCTCTCGTAATGAACTTTTAACAGCAGGTGGCATGACCAACGTTTATTCAGGATGTCGTCTGATTTTAGTATCGCTTTAATTTCACGTCATGCAACTAGGCTTAATAACCGGTCTTATTTATAAGCCCTGTTATATTGACATGATCAACGCTTTGGTTTTACAGCAGCTGCAGCTGGCTTCAATTTTCATGCCCAGATTTTCGATTTTAAAAAATTTCAATTTGCCACACCATATTTTTTTAAATCAGCCAATGACTATCGACCAGTGATCATTAATGAATTTTTTCTTACACTGCATGGCTATCTCAGTACTGAGAGAGCGTGCCTGCTATCTAATCTACAGGATTTTAAAATCTATATTTTCAATCTTGATTCAATTAGTTGTTCCAGCTTTACCCAATTCTAAACCTTTATCTCTGATAGCAAGAACAATCCGAAGACATGTCTTACACCGCAGTTATCTTACTTTTGGTTTCAACCCTCGCCCTCATCCTGTCGACACAAGGTAAGAAATTTACATAACCGGTTTAAATATTACCATTTCGGTATGATTTGACTCCAAATCATAAATTCTGAAGTCACTTGAACAGCTTATTAGTAATCAATTTCCGTTTTTAACCGAACCATCCTTTCAGGAGCACCACAAAAGAGGAGAGAGCACTACAGGAACATGGCAATGCAGAGAAGAAACAATTCACCACAACTATCCGGAAACCAGGACATGATTGAAAGTGAAAGCAGAAGATTTGAACTTGAAGAATTTGACCTGTTGGAAACCCCTCTTTCTTCTAGATCGCTGCCTGGTACGTGTTTTTACGTGTTTTTTAAGTATTGTAAATTACAGAATATTAAATTATCTGATGAGAGTTAGGTACTTGATTCTGGTGTTGCTTTTCCTCGGTGTCATTCAATTACCATGTCATTCGTGATGAGTGTCTGAGCTATATTCTCGATCGTTTTATGCGGTGACCAGCGAGATTGTCTAACAGAAGTAAATTTCAGAATCAGAACAAGAAAATGATGTGTCAGGAGAATCCTCAGTTCACTCCGGACACAGATCCGGACACAAGGCTGCCGGACACCGGAGTCGCGGCACTGGCAGAGGTAGACATGCCAGGCGACACAACAAACAGCAGCCAAAAAGTAAGTTTTTCCCCGATTTCTGATTGTTTTCCCCAATAAACCCCGAATTTTTGAGATTTTTGAATCTAGCAAATGAAACAGTTTCTTAATAACTAGAATCAAAGGTTATGGTTACTGTTTTCTGACAACAATATTTTCAGCACAACATGCAAGAGCAGCGGGCGCTTTCTTCTTCCACCAAGCCTGGCCAACAGGCTAAGAACCTCCAACCTCAAGTAGTTTCCAGACACCAGCATATTCAACCAGAATAACATGGTTACGATAATCGCCAACAGCTCGAAATCACCTACGAAATCACCCTGGATTACTGCAGACTGAAGGTTGACGAAGAAGATAGGAAGACCAGATCCAGATAGGATCTCAGAATTCGAGACACGTGATCGGACACGTAATCAATCACGTGATCAGACTCCTCCAGACTGACTACTAGGTATTTTGATGTTACTCCGTAGCGAGATGAAAAGACATTTAGACGGTATAGACATTTTTGTTTGAGATAGGTAATAATGAACTTCAGCCATAGATTGGCATGGGATGGTTAGTACAGAAAGCACAAGTCAATTCGGTTGGGCTTATTTATTTGTGCACAAATTATTTATTGTATTTATTGTATTGTTGATGGTTCTATTTTAATGAAATTCAACATGCTCATTCCTATAAAGTTTTGAGATTATTTAAATTGCAGCATGATGTGTGTGTAAAAGTTATTGTAATTTTGCCCGTATATGGCGGCATTAACATTAATAGCTACAATTTATTGTTCATTCACATGACAAATATCTAAATACCTTTATTTTTATATGAAGTGTCTTCTTTCTAAATCTAAACAAGTAAAAATAACCCAAAAGTCTTAACAAAAGTTAAATTTTCCTCAATTTGCATCTGTCATTCTGTCTGCAGCTTTTCAACAAGCCATTTATATGCCGAAGTCGTGACGCAGGTGCTATCCGTAAATACTCTGATTTTAACATAACCTGTCTACCGTCTAGACCCCAGTTAATCCAAATATTCGATACTCAAGTACGTATCGACAGGTGCTACAAATAGATTCTACTTGGCTTGAATGAGTACTACAGTGCTAACTCGGGCTTTATATCAAGCCGAGTTAACACTCACCTAGTATAAGTACTAGACTATCAACCACTCACCTAGTATAAGTACTAGACTATCAACCACTCACCTAGTATAAGTACTAGACTATCAACCACTCACCTAGTATAAGTACTAGACTATCAACCACTCACCTAGTATAAGTACTAGACTATCAACCACTCACCTAGTATAAGTACTAGACTATCAACCACTCACCTAGTATAAGTACTAGACTATCAACCACTCACCTAGTATAAGTACTAGACTATCAACCACTCACCTAGTATAAGTACTAGACTATCAACCACTCACCTAAAGTACTAGACTATCAACCACTCACCTAGTATAAGTACTAGACTATCAACCACTCACCTAGTATTAGTACTAGACTATCAACCACTCACCTAAAGTACTAGACTATCAACCACTCACCTAGTATAAGTACTAGACTATCAACCACTCACCTAGTATAAGTACTAGACTATCAACCACTCACCTAGTATAAGTACTAGACTATCAACCACTCACCTAGTATAAGTACTAGACTATCAACCACTCACCTAGTATAAGTACTAGACTATCAACCACTCACCTAGTATAAGTACTAGACTATCAACCACTCACCTAGTATAAGTACTAGACTATCAACCACTCACCTAGTATAAGTACTAGACTATCAACCACTCACCTAGTATAAGTACTAGACTATCAACCACTCACCTAAAGTACTAGACTATCAACCACTCACCTAGTATAAGTACTAGACTATCAACCACTCACCTAGTATAAGTACTAGACTATCAACCACTCACCTAGTATAAGTACTAGACTATCAACCACTCACCTAGTATAAGTACTAGACTATCAACCACTCACCTAGTATAAGTACTAGACTATCAACCACTCACCTAGTATAAGTACTAGACTATCAACCACTCACCTAGTATAAGTACTAGACTATCAACCACTCACCTAAAGTACTAGACTATCAACCACTCACCTAGTATAAGTACTAGACTATCAACCACTCACCTAGTATAAGTACTAGACTATCAACCACTCACCTAGTATAAGTACTAGACTATCAACCACTCACCTAGTATAAGTACTAGACTATCAACCACTCACCTAGTATAAGTACTAGACTATCAACCACTCACCTAGTATTAGTACTAGACTATCAACCACTCACCTCGTATAAGTACTAGACTATCAACCACTCACCTAGTATAAGTACTAGACTATCAACCACTCACCTAGTATAAGTACTAGACTATCAACCACTCACCTAGTATTAGTACTAGACTATCAACCACTCACCTAGTATAAGTACTAGACTATCAACCACTCACCTAGTATAAGTACTAGACTATCAACCACTCACCTAGTATAAGTACTAGACTATCAACCACTCACCTAGTATAAGTACTAGACTATCAACCACGCACCTAGTATAAGTACTAGACTATCAACCACTCACCTAGTATAAGTACTAGACTATCAACCACTCACCTAGTATAAGTACTAGACTATCAACCACTCACCTAGTATAAGTACTAGACTATCAACCACTCACCTAGTATAAGTACTAGACTATCAACCATGATAAGTTATACGAATAAGAATACGCACGGATTGATCGGGATCATAGGCCCCCTCCCCCCCCCCCCCCCCCCCCCAATTAAACTATAATTTAGTACTCACCAGGCAGCAAGCAATCTTCCTTCGAAACAGGACCTTCCTTATCTCTCTTGTAGATCCCGAATATGGAGCCAATTGAAACCAAGCAGTCGATGTTGGAACTGCCGTCCAGAGGATCAAAACACACGATATATCGGCCGTGTTTTGACATGGGCACCTGTGAGGGAGGGGATTAGAGTAACAAAGTTCATTTTAGAATGGTTGTTGGAGAATCATTTTGGTCATAACTACATGTTGAAGTAAGAACTTTTAGATTTTCGGGTCTGAATTCAGTTATTTCAAAAATGTTTAAGATTGATCATCTTCGTTAAACTCTGTTATTTGTCATAATTAAAACTACCACTCATAAACAAAAGCAAAATCATTTGTCATTAATCTGTCACCGTTAGTCCGTTAAAGTATTGAAATAATGCTATAGTGTGGGAGTTTCCCAAGCTCAAGAGAGTCAACATTGTTACCACCTGGCGCCTAGAAATAGGCGGATTACAAACTTAGGACTAACTCAAAGTCCCTGAATCCCTTTGATGAGAAGACTGACTTGTATTGAAAGATTTTCTAGGCTCATACTTCATATTATTGTGTCTCTTCTTGTGAGATGTTAAACACGTTAATATAAAAGTTGCTCTCTGAGATTGTACCGTCAAAGAAGACTCTCTCACATAATTGTCTGATCATAAGAAATATAAAATGGGTTGTGGGTTTTAACTTTTACTGTCTTAATTCCATTTCATTATCTTAATTTCTCGATTGAATGGCGAATATGCAAAATCGTACCATCATTTTCGCTGTAATGAAAATTTGCAATTTTTAAAGACAAATGTCAATGGCGACAACTGTCATCTCTGTATTCAAATGTCTTTACGAGTTACGACCAGACAGTTGAGCTGGCTGCCACCTGCCTTGAGTCAAGACGCAAGGGTGTCTATAACTCTATATGGTCACAGCGTCTCCTATTTGCCTTAGAAGACGTTTCCCTGAATTCCCTGAAAACGTACGTTACAATATTTATCATTGTAGAATCTACGACGGTAGAAGTCAGAAGTCTCAATAAACTGCTCAGAATTATACTTTTATAGACACTAAGATATGAAAATCTAAGTAACACATCCAACCCCACTCAGGCCGCCCATCCCAAATAGCTTGAAATCTGTGACAAATCCCTAAAAATCCAGAATGAGAATCTTTACCCCCGGGCCCTGAAGGGGATTTGTGTTGCTGAGTATTTGAAACTTGTTTTGGTGGTTAAATAGGTAGTACATATCCCAAAGCATCACAAAGACCAAGTTGTAAGCTCTTGAACCACTCAAGCCACTCCCAGAGGCCATGCCAATCCCAAAATTACTGAAATCCAGGTAAAATCCAGATCGAGAATCTTTACCCCTGTAGTGCTTTTGTGTTCCGGGATAGGTGGCACTTGTTTTAGTGTTTAAATAGGTAGTACCTGTCCCAAACCATCATAAAAATTAAGTTTCGACCTCTCAACCCACTCAGGCCACTCCCAGGGGCCACGCCCATCCCAAACTTACTGAAATCCAGGTAAAATTAAGACCGAAAATCTTTACCCCCGTAGTGCATTTATGTTCCGGGGTAGGTGGAACATGTTTTTGTGGTTAAATAGTTAGTATCTGTCCCAAACCATCAGAAAAACCGAGTTTCGACCTCTTGACCCACTCAGGCCACTCCCAGGGGCCACGCCCATCCCAAAATTACTCAAATCTGGGCCAAATCCAGGTAAAATCTAGACTGAGAATCTTTATCCCTGTAGTGCTTTTATGTTCCGGGGTAGGTGGCACATGGTTTAGTGTCACAATGGGTAGTACTTGTCCCAAACCATCAGAAAAACCGAGTTCGACCTCTTGACCCACTCGGGCCACTCCCAGGGGCCACGCTCATCCCAAAATTATTGAAATCCAGGTAAAATCGAGACCGAAAATCTTTACCCCCGTAGTACATTTATATTCCGGGGTAGGTGGAACATGTTTTGGTGGTTAAATAGTTAGTACCTGTCCCAAACCATCATAAAATCAAGTTTCGACCTCTCCACCCACTAAGGCCACGCCCAGGAACAATGCGCAACTTTAATTAGCTTCATGTTTCATGCTACCCTGATCATTCCCCTGACCAGACCCCTTTGATATACGATTTTGGGCTCGAGGGTTCCCCTTTGTAATGCGATCTCTGAAGGCAGGCCTCCGCTTCGCAATACGAGCTCGGAAACGGGAGCTCTGCCTTCAGCGGTACGTATCGAGAATGACTCGGACCGAAAATTTTCTAAGTCAAAATATTTCAAAGTTTTTCTGGAAACTACTTTTGTTCATGTTTCATGCTACCTTGATCATAATGAGTCGAAAAAATCTCAGGCTGTGGCTGCCCCCCCCCCCTCCCCCATGGAGGAAATCATTCCTACACCCCTGTTTACCCCCGTATGCGATTTGTGTTCCCAGGTATTCTTTTTGCTATGAATTACTATCACCACTCATTCGAGGAATATGTTAAATCAAAGAATATTCATGTTCATTTTGTTCGAATGAAGGTTCATTATCGCATTTATTTGATAGTTTTGATAATCAGATCGAGCCAAATCTTATAGAATTGTATTTAGCCATTCGAATTACGTTTGTTCTGAAAAAATGAGAGTTGTAGCTTCTCAGATGACCGAGATACGAGGCATAGCGAGTTTATTCATTACATGTGATCAGGTGATTGGATTACCTGTTCAGGTGATTAGGTGACCCCGTTAAATTGCAAGGGAACCCAATCAATTTTGTTAACGAGATACACAAAATGCTTGATAACTTCGTCATTTCAAATTGGCCTCAATTAATTATCTACAGTAATCTGAAATACATGGGCGTCTAGCATGTCCGGAAAGAACATTATAGGTGATTTAATATTAAATGGGCGTGGTCTCAAATATTCGAATTTTCTAACATTGGCGACGGAATCCTCGAAAGAGTAGTTACAGCATGCCATCTGCAAAGTTACAGGATTTTACCTGGATTTGACCCATATTTGAGTAATTTTTGGATGGGCGTGGCCCCTGGGAGTGGCCTGAGTGGGTCAAGAGGTCAAAACTCGGTTTTTCTGATGGTTTGGGACAGGTACTAACTATTTAACCACAAAAACATGTTCCACCTACCCCGGAACATAAATGCACTACGGGGGTAAAGATTCTCAGTCTGGATTTTACCTGGATTTCAGTAATGTTGGGATGGGCATGGCCCCTGGGAGTGGCCTGAGTGGGTTGAGAGGTCGAAACTTGATTTTTATGATGGTTTTGGACAGGTATTACCTATTTTTACACTAAAACATGTGCCACCTACCCCGGAACATATAAACACTACAGGGGTAAAGATTCTCAGTCTGGATTTTACCTGGATTTCAGTAATTTTGGGATGGGCGTGGTCACTGGGAGTGGGTTGAGTGGGTTGAGAGCACTACAAATCCACTACAAAAATCAAGGAAACGTGCTCTCATTTGCCTGAACTTAAACCAGTATAAACCAGAGTATTCGGTTTTGGGACAGTGGTGTGTCCAGAGGATGAGTGAGTGTTGAACTTCCTGGCCTCACTGACAACTGTTAACTGTATTGAAGCAGAGACAAATATGCCGCGTTTTTTAAATTATTCAAAAAAATGAAGTGGCACTTATCATTGCTGATGTTGGTAACTCGAAATAAAGTCGTAGGGAATCTGGTCATCACCACGGTTACACTAACCATTATTGTAAAATAATGGGAGTGGGGTCATCAGTAGATCAGTGATGTCGTCGTTCTAATCGTCGTCGTCATCACCCAAATAAATGTTAAATCTATACTGCGCGTAAAATATAAACGCGTGTAGCGTCAATGCGTGTACATAAATTAGATTTGGCGACGCGCGTTCCGTAAAGTAAGTGGGCTGATGATCAGGCAACGTAAATGTCCTGAATTCTCCGATGGTTATCGAATTTGTACGGGTCTTTGTTTAGTTAAAAGTCCACAGAGTCTAAGATTAAATTATTGACCATGAAATCCTACACATATCTACCATATTCTATCGCACACTCTGCTTTCGACAACTCATTCGCAGCGAGAGCTGGAAGACTATGGAATATTCTCCCCAAAGTAGTCAATACTCGGAGGACTCTGCCTATCTTTTAAAAATGTCACACCCTTCCAGAAAAATCCCCAACTCTGATGGCCGTGAAGATGCTAATTCTAAACCTAAACTTCTCAATAGGTTGGTTCAGGATGACGGATGTAATATAATCGGCTCATCACGAAGAATTTATCGTTATCATAACAAAGCCCCTTCAGCTGCAGATTGCAAAGTCAACGTAGGAAAAGTGTTATCACGATCAGTACAATTTTTAGAGCACGATGTGCTTCAATCAATAACCCTTTTAACTAAATCATTTTTGAGGAATATAAGTAACTTGTGTAGGCATACCGTTCTTTCTCTTGTAATGTAAAGCCTGAAAGGTTTCTAAAAAGCAGATTTCAAACATTTTTACACACTAACATATTGATACCCAGTAGCGAGTTTTGTGAAAAATACAAACGCAGATCTACGTCATTGGCCGGTAATGTTTGCCAAATTTATCAAAATCTCTGAAGTTCACAAAAGTTCGCGCTCCCGGCTGGACTTGAACCAGCAACCTTTCGATTAACAGTCGAACGCGCTAACCGATTGCGCCACGGAAGCTATGGAAACGCACAAAATTGAGATTCTATATATTCATGTTCTCGACGTAACTGATGCCTGATTGTAACTACTCATAAGGAAAGTGGTGTTACTCAATAATGCAATAATTTAAATAATGAAACGCCTCAGTTTCAGGCTACTACTTGGACTATTATCTGCATAATGGTGCCACAGTATCAGTTAATGTATTTATGCAACAATGAAGTCGAGAATTATATGATTTCATGCATTTTCAGTGCCCTAACTTCCCAAATTACAGGAAGCGACGACTAAGGACTTGAAATGTGACTCTTCAATTACGTCTATAAATTAGGATCATTGGCGGGTCATTGGTCACAATTTCGCGACCAGTATATTTTGTCAATTTATGGTTTTGAACCTACTATTTAATTTTACGCTTCTCTACTTATATGACCGTTGCAGTTGTACCTTAAATCGTTTAGAATTTTAAAAGATGTTATTCAAGAAAAATGTTGCCCGAACAATATTTGTTCACGATTAAATGTTATGCATATTGCATGAACAATATACATTTGGTTACAGTTGTCAGTTACCCAGTAAATGCATCAGTTGTTGTTGTTCCTAATTGATTTAGTGCTAAATTGGCAACCTGTTCTCTTAATGGGTGTAGAAATAATAGGATATATTAGTGTAATGGATTAGTGTAATGTAATGGTGTATAGTAATGGATTGTAGTTTAAACAAGTTACAAAAAGTTAAAATCAATTGTGCGTGGTATGACCGCGGTTAAATATTTGTTGATATAAAATGGTGATACCAAAACGTAAATGTACCTCTATCATATCCTCGTTCTCTTCGGACACCATAGCACATGTCTGAAACATAGAATTATCAGCGATCTTAGTTGCCAAAAACAATACAAGTCATCTGCAGCTAAAACTTAAATGTCAGAGATAAATTCTCAAGTTTAATTAATAATCAATAATTTCCTCTAGATTATTCAACCCAAGTGCGCAACCGGCAACTGAGCAATAAATAACATAATAAACAATTAATGGACGCATGTAGAATGTATATTGTATAATAATACACATCACACATGTTGTTCATAACCCCTAACGTTTCCAAAATCATTTATTGAAAAGCCTGAAAATCTCCTGGAGACTAAGAGATTAGAACCTTCCCTCTGCTTCAGGGTCAATAATTAAATCAATGTTAACACACTGAATGTCAATAAATATCAGGGGGACTGAATCTTCATCATTTATAGCTACTCTACCTCAACCAGTTGGCCTTCTCTATTGCCTGGCTGTACTCAGTATTGATATTAATAAAACAATTATTTTAACAAAACAATTGTTTTAATAAAACAATTATTTAATAATAAAACAATTGTTTAATAAAACAATTATATATTTTTACGGCACAATCAAACAATATTGTAATTAATAAACAAGCTGACTTAGTAATGTCCAGCATGTTCAAATGAGTGTCCCACTTACACACAAGTGGACAGTATTACATTTGTAATATGTAATGATATGAACTCTACACAACATCTAGCACATTCTAGGGACATTCTGCAATAATACTGTTCTGTATTCAAGATGGGAGAATCTTCTAGAGCCTGAAAATCAATCCCAACTTTGTGTAACTCCGTTAAATGTGGATTTCTGGTAGATTCTGGAACGGTCGCATAATTATTTGTTATGAAATCAGTATTTTGTGATTTTAAGGAAGTTTTGTGTTACACTAGGGATTATCCACACTTAATTAAGATAGGCATCCACATTTCCGGAAGAAATAGCAGAAACAATGATTTTTACTAAACCACAACCCCTTCATGGCTTTGGTACTCATTAAACTCACAGACTAATGATAATTGGGCATTAAACTGTAGTCTAGTAATGAAAAGTAAATAGTAATGGCTGTGTTCACTATTCTAATAAGCCACGAGTGTCTCATTAAACGGCATTATACTGTATTTTACTCTCCAATGCTGATTTGACATTAGTCTCGTGCTTGTGTGTCACTAGTTAGATGTTATTCTTCTCTCATTTTTTCCATTCATCAATGTTTCTAGGTCGCTTTTTGACATCATAGAATGAACGGTGTACGAACTCAGCATTTGACATACGACAGTTTGGGCCAAGTCCCTCCAACCATCATATCTTAGAATCAGCTCGTTAGTTTCTCATTATCAGTTACTAATTAGTTACTAATCAGCTCGTTAGTTTCTCATTATCAGTTAGAGCAACTCGAATGGGTCATTAGGAGTTAAAAACCTTTAAATTTGATCACGTGTTTAGTAGCATTTTGAAGTGTTTTGAGGAGTTCAAAACACAACATGAATAGTCACCTGCGACAAATCATGATTGGTTAAATATTATCAAAGTATTTGAAAGTGGAAAACAAAACTAAGATTAGCAAGCACTCTCCGTTTTATTCTGGCGTTTAATTATGTTACCGCTGGAATCATGATTAGTCAAGCATATGAATATGGTGGTGCAAGCGGTGCTAATTCTTGTTAAACTATATAAAAAACCACGGTATGTGATTGAAATATTCGCTCACGTTACACGGCTCCAATCCTGGTCACATTAATGGCAAGGTGATCTTAGTTTAAAAGTGTTTTAGCGAGATGATCAGCACATCTGCACATTAACAAATCACAAACAAAACGTTAATAGTCTGATTTAAAAGTTCGTTCGTGTTCTTTTTCGTTGATTTACGTTGTTGTCAATTTATTGATCCAGGGTTTAGTTTTATTCCGAGCAGGACACGTGTAAACAGTGTTGGGTGTTTGACCACCACACCTCCTCCCACTCGAGGAGGTGTGGTCCAGTAGAATCCTTACATAAGAGGGGGGTCACTTTACCGTCGCGTTCTCCTGGGATCTTTACTTTACTTTACTTTACGTTGTTTAGCTGCAAGGCAGCAGTGTCATCTATGAAAACCACCCTTTTTCTTTTACTTCGGACAACCATGGCCGGCACCAGCACTTACAGGAACCCGAAGGATCGATAACTAAGGCCATCGATTGAGCAGCATATCACGCGACGAGTAAGGGAGGTCGACTAACGAACTGCGCCACTAAGCCACGGATCTTCGTGATCAGGGACAAAAGGAAATCGCGGCATGTACGGAATCGCGATTTTTCCCAATATTTGCGACAAATTTTATGTATAGTTTAATGTATAGTCTGTTAAAAATCGCGGTATCGCGATTTTTGTCAAAATAATCGCGAAATCTTTTTGTCCCTGTTCGTGGTGGATTTGGTGAGGAAGTGATCTCGAATCTGTCTGAATAACCAGTATAGAAACAACACATTGCTAGTATACAGTCTACTACTGTCTACTATACTACTACTATACTGTCTAGAACGCAACATGTTTCAAATACTATAATAATATAGTCAAATGTGTTCTTCATCTTTTCTTCATCTGGGTACTGGGTAATGGGTATGGGGTGGTGCGGATAGCAACACTTAGCAACACTTAGCAACACTTAGCAACACTTAGCAACACTTAGCAACACTTAGCAACACTTAGCATACTGGTAACTGGGTAATGGGTATGGGGTGGTGCGGATAGCAACACTTAGCAACACTTAGCAACACTTAGCAACACTTAGTAACACTTAGTAACACTTAGCAACACTTAGCAACACTTAGCAACACTTAGCAACACTTAGCAACACTTAGCAACACTTAGCAACACTTAGCAACACTAAGCAACACTTAGCAACACTTAGCAACACTAAGCAACACTTAGCAACACTTAGCAACACTAAGCAACACTTAGCAACACTTAGCAACACTTAGCAACACTTAGCAACACTTAGCATACTGGTAACTGGGTAATGGGTATAGGGTGGTGCGGATCACTAACGTAAAGTTACAGTTCACGTCTTACTGCGAGGTAGCTAACTTTATAACCAAAAGTCAGTATACATACGTAACGTAACATACATAACGTTGGGGCTTGTTTCTTAGACACAGAGTGCCCGATTGAAGTAATTCTTTGTTGCTGTTATCATTTATCACTCATTCGAGGAATATGTCTGTATACTGTATACTTTTGCCCCTCCCCTCGCTCCCCCTGGCCTGGTATTATATAAATACCGTACTATTAAGTATACCATACTCAATCACAATTATCAATATACTTGTTTTATTGTTATATTGGTCTTCTGCATTATACCCTCCAATTTCTCATATTTAATTAATTTCTTGAACTAGTACGCCTCTTTAAACAGTGTTTCTCTCCTTTAGATTGTTTTGCTTGTGTTCTCTTCCCCCTTGAGAGTGTTGTTATGAGAAACACAATTAGTGCAATCATCTCAGCCATTGTTATTGTTTGCACCTGCCTAGCAACCAGTGAAGTTAGACAGTCGGTGGCCAGGATGACCAGAGATTGCAAGTATTCGATACGCGATTTACCGCAGGCTCTGGTAAGTAAAACCACATAGTATGCGTTCGGATATTTGGTTTGAATTCAAAACCTATAATCACTGCCGGAAGAACGAGTATGAACAGACTAACGTAGACATATTAAGTTATGTTGGTATATATACCAACATAACTTAACTTCCATCACGTGCTGTTTGTTTATATTTTCTGAGTTAAGAGATAAGAACAACTCAACCGGATAGTCAGAAGATATGTCAACATTCCAACAGTTCCAAATTACAGATTGTAATTTGTGACAAAGCAAACAGGCCTGCCACTAACTCGTGATCTGGTCTTACACTGCTATTTTAGTACTGTATCGTGTGTCGTGTGTCGTGTGTCGTGGGTCGTGTGTCGTGTGTCGTGTGTCGTGTGTTGTGTGTCGTGTGTCACGTGTCGTCCCAAATAAACAGGGAACAGGTGTTCGAATGATCTGAACTTCTGTTGTCTGCAAATCATTTTCAAACGTACGGTTTTTAAAAAATTGGTTTTAGGTGTAAAAATTGGTTTTAGGTGTAAACAACCGTTTTAGTTGTAAACAACCGCATTCTCTACGATTATATTAGTTTAATTGTGCTATAATAAAACCCTATTGCATGTCTAATGTCTACATTACTTATTGCACATGGTACAAATTTTACGGAAACTTATTCCCCAAATAAATTCAGAAATATATCTCAATTCTCCATACATATTTCAGTTGTTGTTCAATGCGATCACCCTAGTTTTAATCTTCATTTAATCTTCATCACCAAACTTAAGATTCCATGTGATTAGTGATTACCCTGGTTTTAATATTCATTAGACATAACGTCATATCATCAAACTTAAGATTCCGTGTGATTACCATGGTCTTTAAATCTATAAATAAATTACGTGATCACGCAATTGACGTCATGTCATAAAACCTACGGCCAGACTAATCACTAAATCACATTGAAGAACTACTGAACCAACAGCTGATACCCCCTTCATCAGCTGAACATGACAGCGGCATTCTGCTATTTTTATAGACTTAGTTAACAGTTACCTGTTACACGTGTACTTCAATACTTTCAGTGCCTTGAAATTTGGAACAATACTAATTTGTCAACGAGAAGAAAACTAACAGCCAGGTGGCATATCGTTAGTACTTCAGTACAAAAAAAACAGTTGTAAGTTTGCGCAATTGTTAGTTATATTGTTAGTATGTAGTTCTGAAAATATGATGGGCACTGGGCAGGTTACTTACTTTATGTTACTTTAGGTTACTTCAGGTTAATAAATAATTAGTTGCCGGTCCGCTGATGGATTAGAGGCAGATCAGATTATAGGCAGATCAGATTAGAGGCTGATGGATTAGAGGCAGATCAGATTAGAGGCAGATCAGATTAGAGGCAGATCAGATTAGAGGCAGATCAGATTAGAGGCAGATCAGATTAGAGG